GCACGGCTTCCCAGCGTTGCGGACACTGACAGCTTGTGCAATCGACGGCGAGCTGCAGTGGCCTCTTACTTTCTTCCAACCGCTGCTGGCTTCAGGCAGACTGCGTGTTCTGCAGGTTTCCACGCTACCTCAGGGCGTCTACAGCTCACCGAGCGCGAGCCCATGCCACAAGAGCTTCCACCGTTGGCTCTGTTGTCCGGGACGCGGGCCCTCGAACGGATCGAGTTGGAGAACTGCTGTCTACGAGCATCGGATCTGCGGTCGTTATTGCAAGGCTGCCGCGGCTTGAAGAGCTTCTTGTACACAAGCAGAAGATGTGAGGTCGGACCTTGGAGCCCCTCACCTGCTAAGTTTGTCGAGCTTCTCAGACCCCACGAGACCACGTTACACGCTCTGATACTCGACTTGGACGTCCACCGTTACCAAGACAAGACTGACGACAGGCTTGCGCTCATACAGTCCCTCGCACACATGACAGCGCTCAAGGTTCTCGTCACCGTGCCAGAGATGTGGCACTACGTTGCGGTTGAGGATGATGTGGTTACCAACGACAGCGTCGGGTGGGAAGAGCGGCATCTGTCTGTGCGGGTCCCCCCCAACGTGCAGACACTTGTGTTTGGTTTATCTGAGGCGGAGAAGACGACGTCACCGAGTCAACTCAGCAACCTCCTTAGCATGCGTACGGTGATGGTCCCTGATCTTACCACTCTCTCCATTGGCGGCATAGAACCGGTCTATGTGGAAGAGGTCAAGCGACTTTATCTAGATCTGGAGCCGTTCATGTGCACTGGTCCGCAAGAGCTGCACGCCGAGGTGGGGCCTACCTACGTCAGATCTGTCTTTGACACTGGGCAGTGTCCTCACAACTGGACTGAAGTGAAATGGGCTGAGCAGATGTATGTGGCAGCCCCCAGCGAGATCTGCCTCTTCGCGCGAGCGTACGAGAGGATTCGCAGGGAACTACCTCGGTGAAACTACCGTGCCGACGGCCTCCAAGCAGTGCCAAGAAGGATTTTGAAGCAAGAACGAGGCCGAAATCCAGACATTGTACGCCATACACCTACCTAGCATGTGAGAGGATTTCAACAACCTGGCTGGATAGTTTCACGTATCGGAATGCCGTTCCTGAAGCCGACATCACTGCGATCAGTCAAAAGAATCGTTAGCGGCTTCTCTGCTGGATTATTCACCGTCCACTTCTGAATGTGATCTTAACCAGTAGAGCCAGAGGCTGCAGGACAAGCATCAGCGCCGAGAAGCCCCATCCCGTGTGGCAAAGGAGGCATGCTGCGACAGTACACAGGATACGCTTCGACGTAGTTCCATGAACTTTCACAGCGCATTCGGTTTACCGGCGGGTACGAACTTGATGGTATGTTGAATGAGCCGGCAGTGCGGGCGAAGAGAAAGGCAAGTCGACCTGCGCATTGCGAACTGGCAGGCCCTGTGGACCGGAAGTCAGGCAACAATGGAAGGAAAGGGCAATAGGATTACCGAAATGTCGCCTTCGCTAGTGTCATAGGTCATGGGATGCCGCCTACTCTGGCAATGAATTTGTATAGTAGCTCATCTACGTGGACTGTCTTCATGGTGTCTTTGTCGGCCGTCGATGGGAGACGAATTTGTGATCTTCTTGGTCAAACCCGTGACATGGAGACCACTCGTTGTCCGCTGTCTTATGTCTCTTTGTGTCAAAGCCAATGCCGTTCAGCCCGTTGGCAGCAGCGGATCTAATGAAGCCCAGAAACTGTGTGCCTCTCGCCGACACTGAGGAGTCTTGTCGTACAGACCGTCGAGATTAGATGTGATGATTAACTTTGAGTACCAGGCGTCGTTGTCAAAGTAAAACAGCCACGATATCTACTGCATTGAACTAGAAAGAAGCACACCGCTATGCTTCGGACGAAGAAGAGGCTGATGCCTGCAGCATTACTTTACCGCCAAGTTCAGCTAGTCGACGAATGCGTGCCCCGCCTACCTAGATGTGCAGGAGACTGTTGGCTAGGATGCTTATAACCACCTTATAACCAATACTACTCTAGTTGACCTAATGGGCTGTAGCCTGGCTAGTCCTTCTCTCGATAAGGTGTGGGCTAGGAGACCTCACGTTCATCTGCATGACACTTGGGCTCCACCGTTGAGAATGGCGAGAACGTGTAGAATTGTTGTTCTGATCCGAGCTCTGTCTGAACACCCGTAGTTCGTTTTCTCTGTCGGATACAACCCTGGGTGCGTCTGGCGACAGCCTCTCGACCGTAGCCCCTTACAGTCGGGAGCTAGCAGAGGTGGAGCACAAAGTCGAACGAGGCGGTTGATACTATGCAATTCTGAGCATCATTCGAGGTCCCTGCAGGTGATCTAGCCTGACGCTCTCCTATAGTAACACCTTCCGTCAACTTACGCAAACCCGATAGGTTGCTGAGTGCAGATCGCTCAGTCTTCAGTTGTCCCGTCAGAAGACGTCCCCCATGCCGCTCTGAAGAAGTTCGCCAAAGGCATGAGCAAATGCCTTGCAGATCTGGGTCTTAGGCTCCGAGCATATGTTGTGAGAGAAGTAGTGGGCTCCGTACCATCGCGTAATCTCATTCACGAAGAGCCGTTTCTCACCCATCCCGTCTTCTGCGACGCCGATATCGAGGCGAGTGCCAACCTCGAGTGACTCGAAGAACACCATACTGTCAGTTCGCGCTCGAAGGCTTTCAAAGACCCAAATACAAAACTGCTCGAGATGAGATCGTGTTAACGAAGGCTCCAGGTCCTCCGACAGCAACTCTCGGGATGCAAGTGCCTGGGTCTCTTGGTTGAAGGCCGTCTTCGCAATAGCGACAATCCGCCCACTTCGGCCTCGAATACCCTGTTCATCGCGCTCGGTGACAATGAAAACTCTGAATTCATAGTCTCGCAAGGCCGGAACGAACTCTTGGTGGAACCAGTGCGTTTGACCACTAGATGTCGCATCGTAGGTGGGATCTTTCGATGACTTGTTCGTCTTCGCTAGCATACTCTTCCTGCCTTTCCTCTGCTTCGACGGCTGCTTCGACGCAGGCATCTCCACATTGCATGTAAGCTGTTGCCTGTCTCTCTGCTTTCGAATATGCACGTGCGTAGCGCAGCCACTATGGGTTCTCTTATGAACGGTGATGCTCTCCTCTTGGAGCGCACACGGACCGTGCCCGAAACACGTCTTCGGTCGATACGAAAACTCGGGCGGAGAGGAGCGGGCAATATCATCTAAAGCTCGGATGTCGCCCAGTTTGGCTCTCTCTTGCCACGCCTCACTCTCGTTCGGGTAGGCCCGAAATGCCGTTCCGTGAATATGCTTAAGCAATCGTACTGCACTGTAAACTGAGTCAAGGGTGGGGTTTGTGGGCTCGTCGGTGGTCCAGTGCAGGAACAAAACAGTGCGTAGCGCCTCTCCGTCCTCACCTCGGCAGGAGCTGGACAAGAGACTCTCCCGAAGTTGACGGGTCAGCCAATCCCACGTGTAGGCGTCGACAGCAATTTGGTTCCGCGACTTGACGGCTAACATGGTAACCAGCCCCTGGTGCACATAACAGCCGCCGTCCTCTGCATCGATAACTGTATTGCGCAGATCTAGCACACGAGCCTCTGCTAGCCAGGCATCGTGACCAAGGCTGTCATGATCGTCAGGAAAGTACTGAATAGCAAGGGTGGCGGTTTGGTCGAGCGGCCTCTTGTCAGGGAAGGAGACCCATACTACCTTATCCCATGACGGTGAAGGTGCTTGTAGAGACGGTGCAGGCGGGACTGGCATGAACGTCGTCCGAGGGTGGACGTTTGCGTTGATGGGCGGACTTCTGGTATCAAGAACGTCCTCCGATCTCTGGCGGACGCTTTTCTGTGCGCGTCTGGCCGATTGCTGTTTCTTTCGGCGGAAACGATGTGTTTTACAGTTCGTGTATCCCGCTTCAGGTGCATACTGACAAGAAAGGTTGTATGCTCATAGCCCCTGCGACTTGCGCTCAGCCCTCTTTGCGCCGGTTATACCAGGCATCCTGAAGGCTTCCAGTTGTCTTATGCAATCGATTCGGGTGTGGACGTGGTGCGTAGGATGTGGGCGTTGAAGCGGGCGTTGAAGCGGGCGTTGAAGCGGGCGTTGAAGCGGGCGTTGAAGAGGGCCGATCAACCACCCCCACCGGTTTGGCGCGCGGCGAACAGCACACCTCAACAAAAACAAGGCTGCAAAAACACGACAATCAGCGAGAACTCGGTTTTGGGATAGCCCATCAGAAAATCAGCAAAGCACATCTGCTAGAGGCCGCAACGGCCTCTATAGTCCATCGCGCATCCCTTCGCCTCGATTCGGTGCTGGTAGAGCCGCCGTTGTGGCCACGGCACAGACGGACTAACAAAATTTGCGAGCAGGCTCCACAAGATGGCACGTTCCTCCAACGCAACAACAGCCATCTCGCCGCAACACAGCAACACGAGAGCGACGACGGAGCCCAGGCTCTTCTTTCACAGCCGCAATACAGCATACAGTCACGGATGGGTTTCTGATCCAACCCGTTGCCAACCGACAATGTTGGCAACGTCCCACTCTGACGTGCTCTTGACTGAACGGCATCACCTCTTACGCCACACGCCCGACAAGGTCTGAAGAGATTCGTGCGAGAGCTCTCGTGCTTAGCGGACTCGAAGGCACGCCAAAGCGAAGCATTGCGCTTGTGAAGCTGCGTCCCGCGTAAGATGGCAACGGAGCGGCGTGCGCAAAATGGAAGCTGCTTACCGCTCAGACCACCCTCGCCCACTGTTGTGTGCCGATGAAAATAGAACCCAACCGCCCCCCGGAACGGGCTGAAACACACTCCTTCGCCCGTGAAAACGATCACCTTGATTGCTGCGGCCTATCTGCTTGCTTAATGTAAGCGTATTATCATCCAGTCAACAGCAGCAACCGTATATCCGCATCACGACTAACTGTTTTATCGAGGACGTACAGGTGTTCAGCACCTGTAGCTCACTCGTGACTGGCAAGGACAGAGGTAACCTCGAAAAGGCCAACGTTTTGGTGGCGCGCCGTGCTTTCCTATCGACAACCGCTGCTCTACCACGTCCGCAACCTCGCCTACTGTGATAAGCAAACCGCGGAGTGGGTAGATTCACTTGCGACACGGACTTCTGGGTGTTGGCAATGGTGATCAATGGAAAGCGTGCGACGAAGTCTCTCCAACGGTAGATTTTAGGTGATAATACATCATAGCGGAGTGGAGGGTGAGCAGACCAGCCTGCGAGTCCGGCTGTTCTTCCAATGCAGCTGCAACAAAATAGGCGTCACACTGCGGGCAGGAACCATAAGGGCATTGCGTTGGCCTGTAAGCAACCGCCAATACCACGGTTTTGTGCAAGACACTTCAACTTGCAACCAGGATTTGCTTCTGCGTGTACCTTGACAAGAATGCGCATCGTGTACATCGAATGCTGTTACTTGGGTTTGCAGTCTGTGATGCCTGTAAGCAGAAACGCTCTCGCCTGGTGGCGGGCTTACCCGGATAACGATAGCGCCTGTCTGCAATGCCTTGGACTGCCGATTCTCAAAGTCTCTGGACCCGGCAAAGTCGGTGCTTGCCCAGCTTGAAGCCTTTTGGCAACGCGCATGCCCGGCGAGACATTGAAGGGTGGCGGGTGAAAGATAGGATGCATTACACACACTAGCATCTGGTGGCATGAGGGCACCCTTCATCAGCGTCCCACGATGCGGCTATCGCATCGGGATCTACTGCCACCGATCGTAACCAAGCTGATCTCTTTGAGGTTACAGCTGTACATGTAGGCAAAAGGTAAAGAAGAGATGGTCGCAAGCGATCGCAGATCATAGCATCCTGGTTGAGCACAGGAAACCTGTTCCTGTTCGCCACACTTCACCCAGTAAGTGAGAAGAGACTTTCTCTTCATCACACCAGTGCCGAACGTCTGACCAACTGGTAGTATTACGCACAATGAAGGTGAAAGTCTATGTGTTCGTGCTGATGCTGACCTCGCGAAGCTCTCGTCCCCCCAAAGACCCGAGCAGCAGAGGACAGGTAATACAACTGCTATCTAGGTGTTTGGTAAGAAACGTTCCGCACTCATTGCATGCACTCCAGACACTTGCACGCGAACATGCGTCGTGCTTAGGGAAGTAAGCTTGGACAGGTACCATTATACTACTGCGCTTGAGGTATCATCTGCAGCTTCTACCATGGCCCCAAGCCCTTGCTCTACCAGACGTGCACCTCGTTCAGAAGGCTCGATGCCGTCGACTCCACACCCGCAGCTAGAGACAACTGGCTTTGAAAGGGTGGCGCCTTCCGTCTGCAAATACACCCGTTGCTTCGTTCTCGGCTGCAAGTAGATCTTTTATGATCACATCAAGGGGTTCGAGCACAACATCGTTAGCAGGACATGGGAGCGCCTACTCAACGAATCCTTGTGAAATCGCTCAGCGCCGTGGTGCTGTTTATGTTCCGAAGGTGACGACCTCATATGCTCGGAAGAAATAGAGAACCATGCTGCGGCGCTGCTAAGCCAGAATCCACGGGTCAGGACTGTGAACTTCGAAACAAGCGGGCACGTGCAGCATGCAAAGCTCGGTCTAGACAAATACAAATTGGCAATCTTAGAGACCTGGAAGGACGGTGGATGTTAGTAATACAGCACAAGCCGTACATCTTGAAATCGCTCATCGTACTGGCAGCATAGCTCTGTTGCATTCACTCGAAATAGTTTGTAGTCAATGCTATGGTACTAATTACCCATACTGCACTTCGCCTCACGGTGCTATCCAACCCACCGGGAAGATCATGTCTTATCGGAACGTGGCAGCACATCAGCAACTCTCACAACCCCAGTCCAATACTCACCTCATGCAAGGTCGCAGCACCAAACATCAGCATACAACGCGCATCCAATACGCGCGTAATCCTTCGATGTGAGGATCTCTGCATGGCCCGTCTGCCCGTTGTGGTTCCAGCCTACCGACTGACTTGCGCAGACGTCGCCCAGTCCGGGAAGATCAGGAATCTCGCAGAGCCATCCACCTACGAAGACGTGTTCGAAGGTGTCTAGCTTGCCTGGAGCTATCACCTGGCCAAAGGTACCAGGGTTGAGCTTGTGGGTCTCGGCGCCGTTCCCTGCCACCACGGCGTCCATGGCATTGGTTTCCAGCTCAGGGTCATGCACAAGAGCCTCCATGTTTAATTTCGCGCGCCACTCATTGACGATCTCCATGTAGTCCCTACTAGGGATCGCGGGATGGGTGGTGAGCGTAGGCATTGTGTGTGTAGACGTTAGCGTAGTGGTCATGGTGGAGATGGGACGGGGTCCTTTGATACTGTTGAAAGCGCTAGGCTGGTTATTATACATGGTGCTCGATATCGCGGACATGCTGAGTAGGGAGAAGAGCGTTTCGGCTGCATGCGCCTGACTCGAGCAGGCAGTGTGCAGCGTGCTTTGGGATGGGAGAGACGCAGGCACATGGCCAGACACATGAAAGGCAGCCAAAAGATTTGGAATGGAACCGAGGATGGCTACCATACGAAAGGTAGCGGCAAACATTGTGGAGATCACCTTTGAGAGCACAGAAAAGACGTGGGTATAGAGCGATGGGCCGGAGCAATCGCACTGGGCTATGGATAGTCTGAATACTAGAAGAATCTTGCGTCGGTACTGTATAAAACATGACAGAAGGGAGCGTTATGCTTACGCAGCTGTGTGTCTTACGCGTGCCTCAGCAGGTGATGGCAAGATTGGCAAAATGATGTTCCCAAACGCTCGCGCGCTGATATGACCACCCACGGTGCTCGCCATTATGCGATCAACTCCACAACGCATTCTTTGACAGGCTGTCATATTGGATTTCGTCGTACAGCTGGAACTGGCGATGAGAGCGCCGCTTGGTACAGAGGCAAGGTATATGCATTCATGTCTGTTGTATGGTCCTATTTCTCAGAATTCGGAGGCCAAGAACAGCTCGTCTCTTTCCCGGATGCAGGTGCCCACGTCTGTATCTTTTGTGCCTAGAAGCTGTTTCTCGCACAAAATGGCGATTTACATCCTGCTGTTGTCCGTATCTCCGATCTACAGGGACGTGGTTGCTGTGAGACCGGGACCATGCCTGCATCAACATTGGTGTTCAGATTGAAGACTTCAACACCGTTACGCAGCACCCGTACGGCCACATCTTTCGTATAGCACAGCTCGAATGTGATTCCCCGTTCTAGCTTTTCGGCCTCACTCTTCCACTCGGCTACTGCGCCTTGCAGGCTCAACTGCATCTCGTCTCCGACGGTGATATCGGCCATGGTTAGGGATAGGGCGCCGATATTGGTGAAGCGCACCTTTACCTGCCCATTTGCACGACGGAGTCTCAAGCTGGGCTCCGCAAGAATCACAGCCATCTCATGTCGTGCAGATGAGTATGGCCATTTTACCATGACAATCGCGCTGATGTGCCCTGATTGAATGTTGTCCGGGCAGAGTTTCGCGATGGGTAGGGGATGCATTTGTCGCAGGCTATAGAGACATATACCAGTGATGGAGAGATACTGTCAAGTCTGAGCGAGTACAGAAACCTTTCCCATATGGTGTATACCGCGCATATCGCCCATGTTGCTTATGATGATTGCGACTGGTCTAGTAAGGCGCAGGGATGATGGTATCCGCGTATGAAGCTGATGATACGGCGAGGGTATTCATATCTCCAGGCGATGTCGAGCAGGATGCCTTGGTCAATGCTCCGTACGGACGTGTCAATGCTCCATCTCAGCATGTCCTACGCCAGTTGCTACGACGCACGCTGGTACCAGCTCGTACATTGGCGGATGGCACAAGTAGGTCAGCGAGTTTACAGCACGCACAGCCATTGGTTCGCGCGCAGGAAATCTCCTTCGTCGATCCGTTCGAAGGAAACTCCTTCGTTTGTACCATACAAACCAGTGCGACCGTAGGGCCCTTTGATACTGGAGACCGCAGCGGGCCACCATCTATCTCCAGAGAGCTTGCGCAACGTCGAAAAGTCGCCATGCACCTTTTGAGCCCCAGCTCGAGAATGTAGCCAGCGAAGAAGAACTTCACGTAGAGACGGCCTTGTGTGACGTCTCGCGAGCAGCGCTTTATCAAGATACGGGCTTGGTCAAGAAGTATTCAGAGAGCCCCTACGGTGCCCGACGTCCAGCGGCTGCGCGCACTTGCAGCGTACCGGAAAATCTACCGAACTCGTTAGAGAAGAAGTCTCCGCAGATCGACGGCAACGACACAGACAGAGTCTCCAGTCCGCAGAGTATCCGGAACAACGCACAGTAGTGCTGGCCACCACCGTTGGGAGAGCCAGGGTGCGGGTACCAGAACCCATCTCGTGATCGGGGACTATGCTCCAGAACGTGCGGCGTACGTGGACGGACGGATGGAAGGGCTTCGGCGCTCAGCTGGAGGTCAAAGTCATGGGCGGCAGGATATGCCTTGCATGCCACAGCCTGTACGAGTACACTTGGTGTTCTACGAGCGTCTCAGTAAGAGTGATCATACTTTACACTAGCAGATGTTTGTACCCGCTACGACATTCGAGTCGTTATGATTCTAGTCATCGCCCCGCGAATCTATCGGATGATTTGGTATTGCCGACGACCTCTGCATCCCTACAGTCTCCAGGCGTCCAGACGACAGCATATCCTGATGGGCAGGCAAGCAGCGGATCCCAAAGCCGGTCACGCGTAAGCTAGCGCCACAGTACATGGTAAGCGGCTTCGCCCTGTTTCGTGGGCTCGGTGCACATAAAGTGCCTGGTTGCGTAATGCATCGCAGCGCAGCCAGGGGGTAGTATCCATTGAGTCCACTTCTGTCTTACTCAACATGTACACACAAGCTCTCGCCCTACTTTATTGGACTGCTGGCGTTAGTGGGCATATGTAAGTGTCTTCCCACAATGACGTGTGCACGCCGTCTGCAGCAGTCGGACCACAGAATGCGTGACATGGCCAGACCACAGACTAATGACTGGCCAGGTCGCTTTGGTATCCTGGGCCGCTCGGCGGTGCTAGAGAAGCCAACGCGATGTCTACGTATGTAGACCCCGAGCTTAACTTCCCTCTAGGATGTTGTGACGAGGACGGCCAAGCCACTTTGCCGAGCCCGGGTGTCTGTCGAGGCCATATTGACATGTTCGATGAGCAGGAGGCGCAAGTGGTCTGGCAGGCTGGCCAAGACGCCTACTTCCAGCTTTCCGACCACACTTACACAGCAGGCGTGCCGGGAAGCACACACTACGGAGGCAGCTGCCAGGTAGGCTTCTCTCTGGACCGCGGCCAGACGTGGAGGGCAGCGGCTTCGTTTTCTGGAAACTGCCCACGCCGGGCAGAAGACGGATCGCCCAGTAGCCAAACGTTTGACTTTCAGGTTCCCCGTGGCATGCCGAGCGGCGACGCCTTGTTTGCCTGGGTCTGGCTGAACCGCGAGCACGAGATGTTTGTCAACTGTGCCAAGGTCCAAATTGCAGGCAATGCTTCGCGTGTTCTATCGGCCGGCATGTCTCTTTCTTCTGATGGAGTCCGGCAGCAGAAGAGAGTAAGATCTTCCCGCTCCTGTGAGTGGAATACAGCTCCCATGATGGAAACGAGCTACTACACCACTGACGCCGAGTGCATGCCCGACGCCAAGTTACAGCATACGCAAAGCGACGACTTTGAGCTAGGCTGGGATGTGACGTGCGGCGCTGTAGAGGGCGACGGCGCTTTCCCAATCCAGATGATCGAGTGCTGAGGATGCTCATGTCATCATCCGCTCACACGTCAGGATCAGCTTTTCGTTGTAGAAGCGGTTGCAAGGGAGGCAGCTACTCAGGCGTGCTGCTACATGGAAAAATCAAGGGCTGAACCCTTTTTCCGTAATGAGATCGATAGATGTTCGTACAAAAATGAGCAACATGGAGTCTTTCCCTTACGCCTACTTCGTTCCATCGAGTCAGGGTGCCGTGTACTGTACTACGTCGCCCCGTGTCTTTGACACTACAACCAAACCAAAGATGTTCTTTGTTTTAGAGCTGTATTTTCATGCTGATCATGGGGCGAATACATGTTATCACGCGCCGTCTGGCATATCTGGATGCTCAGGATTCGTGTCGAGGTCACACTTACGTGGCGGGCGATCAGAACACAATCGAATCACGAGCGTTGGTCCTTACATTCGCGTACTGACATTGGGAAACACGTAGTCATGAGTGGTGGTTCCCTTGGAATCCTTTCCCTACTACCCAGCGCCAAGGGATACGTCGCCATCCTATCCCAGAGTTTACAAACAAAATAAAATCCCTTGAGTAGAGCGCGAAGCTTCTATATCGTGAACTATCCCTTTTCCACGTCTCTTAACATGTGCTAGCGCGCCGCCTAAGTGTCTTCGTTTGTGTCAAGCAATATGTCCTGGGTTGATAACGGGTGCATGACCATGGCGTAGCCACGAGTACACTGCCGTACATAGACTAGAGATGAATCGCTATCGAGCCACGGCAGCGATAACAAGGCCTGTATACTCTATTCATGACTATACCCAGACGGTCGCGGGCCGCGGGCCTGCTACTCGAACGTCTCTTTAGTGATCTCATGCGTGCCTTCCATGAGAAAACCTGTCATCGACTGCCAATCGAATGACTCGTGAAACGCTCATTTATAGCGGTGACATGTCTCATCGTCGTATATAGGTAACACAGGAGGCGTGAGGTCTAGCTTCGCAGTACAGGCAATATTGAACTTGACTGAACACGACATAGATCGTTGTCTCCGGGATTTACAGCTCCGTGAGTGCCTTTCAATAAAAAGGTCCCTTCTCACTATGAGCATCGCAATCGAGGTAACGACTTGTTGGTGTTGAACCATCGTTTCATACACGTCTTCGCTGATCGTCTTCGCAGCATCTTCACGCGTGGTGTTAAGAGGCCACCTATACCGTCTTCCGGTCGTTACGTTCATTTTCTGTTCTCCGATACGCTCGAGTCATCACCGACCACGACGATCGCAGGCGCAGGACTAGCCTCAGCATCAACCTCCTCGTTCTTCTTGCTTCTGGTGAACAAGCCCTTGACCTTCCTCATGCCTTTGCAGCACCAGCGGTAGACCACGACGACCGGCATGCCAACAACATGCGCAATAGCAGCGAACCATTCATCGGGGAAGCACCTAATGAGGACTGCCCACGGAATACAAACGAAACCAGTGATGATGCTGATAGCCCACTGTGTGCCATCGATACCTCCGGGCTTGATCTGGAAGGCGCGGCCACCGACGAACACAATGAGAACCTGCAGGCCAATAATCATGACAACGATGCCAATGAAGAACCAATTGCGAAGGATACCCTCAAGCACGTTGGGCTTGTTGTCGAGACGCCTGTTGTTGAAGATGTTGAAGATTTGCATCCAGACGAAGCTGTTGAAGATGACGGTGTCGAGCTCGAGTTGCTTGTTGGGGTCGGAAAGGTCGTAGCCAAGGATATCGCCACCAGCGAAGTAAAGCACGAAGATGACTGTGATCTTGTAGATGTTTTGACCAATTATTTGCTTCCACATGGTCGTCGTGATAAGAGGGCCTTTGCCCTGTGGTGGGCGGTCGAGGATCTTCTCGGTCGGTGGGTCGGTAGCGAGTGCGAGCGCCGCGAAGGTGTCCATGATCAAGTTTACCCATAGAAGCTGTACAGCTCTGAGTGCAGGCTTCATCTCGTCATCGTATGCCGCGGTAACGAAGGCGAGCACGACTGCGGTGATGTTGACAGTGATTTGAAACTATCGGCGTTAGTGAATGTGAATCAGAGGGAAGGGCTTAGTGTGACTTACTTGGAGGAACTTTTGCACAGCGTCATTGACAGCTCGACCCCACATCAACGCAGTGATGATAGAAGAAAAGTTGTCGTCCATGAGAATGATGGAAGACGCTTCCTTGGCAACCTCAGTACCGGAAACCATGGAGAAGCCAACGTTGGCTGCCTTGAGCGCTGGAGCGTCGTTGGTGCCATCGCCGGTAACAGCGACAATCTCACCAAGTGCCTTCAGACGAGTAACCAGGATGCGCTTGTCCTCAGGCGATGAGCGGGCCAATACCTGCAAGCGTGGCAGCATCTCATCTAACTGTTCGGTTGAGAGGCGGCGGAAGTCGGGTCCTTCCATCACCAAGCCACCTTCGGTATAAATGAGGCATTCAGTTGCGATCGCTCGTGCAGTTTGCATGTTGTCACCAGTAACCATTCTTACAGTAACGCCAGCCTTCTGTGCCTTACGAACTGCCTCGGGCACACCAGGGCGTACGGGGTCCCGAATTCCGACGAGGCCGGAGAATGTGAAATCGCACAGCAAAGAGGCGAAGTCGACACTGCCACCATCCGTGAGCGCAGCATTGGCCGTTGGCCATTGTGGGAAGTCGCGGTAGACCAAGCCGATAGTCCTAAGGGACCTGTTCGCATATTCGTTGATCGTATCGGTCAGGCCCTGACGGTGTTCTTCGGAAAGTGGCTCTGACTCCAAAGTCTCGAAGTGCGCGAACGCGGATGCGAAGCTGAGGAGGATTTCGGATGCGCCTTTGACGACAAGGCGGTATTGGCCGTTCTGAAGCTTGACAACCGCGCCCATACACTTCTTCGCCGAGTCAAAAGGAAACATATGCGATACCTGCTGGTTATCCCGAGTCTCTGACAACGAGACAAGTCCAAGGTGGTCTTTGGCGAGCTCTAGTAGCGCAGTCTCAGTCTTAGAACCGACGAAAACTGGCTTGCCATCCTCTTGGCCTTCGAATGTTGTGGAGTTGATTGCGATGGATTGAATGAGAAGCTCCTTCGCAGCAGATGAAATTTTCGATGCCCATGCTGATATCGCTTGGTCCTTTTCCGACGCGGCATCAGCGTGTACAAAGCTCGTAGTGCCGAATGTGCCGGCAACGACCGTCATTCGGTTGGTTGTCTGGAGGTGTGAGAATATGTCTATGTATAGTTGATATATAGCACTTACCAAAGTACCAGTCTTATCAGAGCAAATAGTTGTGGCATTTCCCATCGTCTCACATGCTCGCAAGATCCTGACGAGGTTGTTCTCCTTCAGCATCTTTGTTGTCGCGAAAGCCAGTGCTAATGTCACAGCCAAGGGAAGACCTTCTGGTACCGCTACCACAATGATGGTGACAGCGACGATAAGAATATCCATAAAGGCTGAGCCTTTCTGCGACGCTGATCGAGTGTCACCAGACAGCCCGCCAACGAAGCGGAAAAGAAGGATGAAGAACAGGATACCGGCAGCTGCGGTTCCAAGATAGGCAATAGACATTGCAAGCTTACCAAGCTTCTCCTGAAGTGGTGTAGCCTCGATCTCGACGCGAACAGACATCATAATCTGGCCAAAACTGCTGTGTTCTCCGACGGAGGTTGCCATAAAGGTACCAACACCTTCGAGCACCTTTGCACCAGAGACGACGAATGGATCGAGGTTTTTCGCTGGCTGTCCCGACTCCAGTGCCTTCATAACAGCAGCGCCTGGAGTCTTTCGCATAGCATCCGACTCTCCTGTGGCAGAAGACTCATCGCACTTGACGTCAGAGCCGTCTATGAAGATACCGTCGACTGGGATGACATCTCCGGGTTCCATGTGTATGATATCTCCAGCAAGAACATCATAGATGCTGATCATTGCCGTCCTTCCAGAGCGTGTCACTTTGATATCGCGTTGTTCTTTCTTTGCGTTGAGCTTCGCAAACGCCACCTCCTTTTGCCAGTCGTTGACGGCTGTGACGAGCACAACGATGACGATTGCCACAACAATCGCACAACCCTCGACCCAGTCAACAGGTGTCGGAGAACCGGGTGGATGCTCTGCACCGAATGTCTCGTAGAGTCCAAGTGCTAGGGATATCGCTGCTGCAACGGTAAGGACAATCAGGACTGTGTCGTTGTAGGCATTCCATATTAGTCTCCATAGAGGCGTAACTTTCTTGGGTGGTAGTACGTTCCGTCCGTGTATGCGAATCCGATCCTCGAACGGCTTTCCATCACTCGGCGGTCGACTTGATTCTTTTCCTTTCGTAGGTGTCTGCGGGTTCGTTGCTTCGTCGAAGGAGATGTGCCGAGGGACAGTCGACTCATCCGCACTCAGACCGGTGTGGATATTTGATTGTAGGCCGGCTGTGATGCCATAAATGCCACCCAGAGCTTGGTAAACAGGAAGGGACTTGAGGTTTAGGAGCTTGCTGAGTTGTGATGGAGTAAATGCAAACGGGTTGTCGGTGTTCGCTGCAGCTTCAGCGCGCAGCTCCTGTTGCAACGCTGTGTTGTAGTCTCCTACTACAGTAGATACACCGCTTGTGGACGCATTACTCGGCGATATCGGCGTCGGAAATGGGTCTGATGTTTGCGATGTAACAGTGTCGGCCTGACTCAGCGCACGCTGTCGCGTGTTGATTTGTAGTGTCAGAGGGGTAAGTTTGCCGGTCTCCATCTTGGATGAAATAACGATGGTTCGATGAAAATACAAGAAGAATGTAGTTGGGAGTAGTGTTTTGAGTATTTTGCTCTGTATGATAATAGGAGAAGACTTGGACCAAGTACAAGTAAAGGACGCATCGCAAGCCACCATATACACACGGAGTGGGCTGTGCAGTAGCGGATGATGCCCGATCCGGTTAGATGCCTGTTGAGCGATGCGGGCATGACTGCCTTGCCTTTGTTCGGACACAGCCTCGCCAGGCAGTCACTATTCTTGCCGGGCAGTAACTACCCTCACCAGGCAGTCACCAGCCTCACGAGGCTGCACGACATCATGGCTTGTCTTGCACGCACGGCGATCCCAGCCACAAATGACCGTTGCGTCTTCTGGTATATATCGACTAGGTCGCCAGCCGGAGGCCCAGCGGTCGAGCATCAACCACCAATACTTCAATATCACATGTTATAGAGACATCATGACCGAGCTGTCGCCAAACTCTACTACTATGCAAGCTCGGCATAAACACGAGCGGAATGCCTCCATGAACTCACCTACCGATATGCCTACGTCAGCCAACATAAGCGGATCCCTTGTATCCCAAACTGCTAACAAACAGTCAACCAAAATCACACCGAGTCACAGCAGGGGAGTCTCTGTAGATTCTTCACAGGACGGCGATGATGACGGATCACTAAGAAAGAACCACAGCTACAAACGCGCCGAAGAACCGCCGCGCAACGAAGACGGCAAGATGGTGTGCAAGTATCAAGGATGTCGTGGTACATCTTTCGACCGAAAATGCGACTGGAGGTGAGCGATTCCAAGTCATACGTTCGACAACGATCCCTGATTGACTTTGGTGCAGCAAGCACATGGACAAGCATGATCGTCCTTACAAGTGCAACGTGAAAGGATGCGAAAAGCTTCAAGGCTTTACTTACAGCGGTGGCCTTCTCCGTCACGAGCGTGAAGTTCACAAGATGCATGGTGGCCCCAAGAAATCACTCTTCTGCCCGTTCCACGACTGCAAACGCAGCTCGGGCGCCGGCTTCACACGCAAGGAGAATCTGGCGGAGCATGTCCGCCGCGCACACCGGAGAACATCAATGTCTGCAGATACGCATGGTTTGATCATCCGCCGCGACGTGCCCAGGCGCGAGATGGAAGATTCGCCCACCGCTAAGTCACGCTCCTCAGAGTCACCCTACAATGACCTCGACGAGGACGGCATTGAGGAGGACCTAAGTCTGAAGCGCAAGCGAGTAGGATCGGACTCTGGTGTTTCAGATTGTGGAAACGACGAGATGCGCTCTGAGATCAAGCGTCTTCGACAAGAGAATGAGGAGAAGGACTCACGACTACGGCAGCTAGAGCAGGCTGTCATGGTTTTACAGCAGCGTCATAAATAACGATGAGTATGGTATTCGTGCAAGCTCTATCGGTGCTTAACATGGCGTATCGTCTCTTGTCTGTTTTATCCTTTACTCCTTAGATTCTTGTTTCCCTCACCACACATATTGCTGGAGTCTTTTTTCTATGACGACCCAAGTTGTATATATTGCTTACCCACCAAAACTATGATATCACTCACCACTAGAAATTAGATCACGTCTCGATAATCAGACAGCGAAATCTTTAGCCAGCGATCAGCTCTCTTTACTGGCGCCCTGAGCCAGAAGAACGTTGGGGGCTTGTCTGCGGCAGCAATCGGCACGGTGTGCTACCAGGATGCTGACTATGCGGATGAGGCCACGCGCCTCACGTTTCGCAAGGCTCTCTTCGCATCGGCAGCTGGCAGGCAAAAAAAGGTCTTTGGCAAGGGGGGTATGCGCCACCAATACTATAAATGTAACATCCGCCTGATTTTGCACGGCAACTGGTGGGACGTCACTAGGTGGGAAAGATTGCAGGAGAGGGTTTCGCTTTAATTTGGTTGGGTACAAGATAATAGAAGATAGGGAGCTGACAATGCTACTGCCCACCCGAGTTAGAAAACTGAATCTTATTGTCGATCGGTGGTCAGTGGCGGTCAGATTCAAGAGCCGAGAAATTGGGGACGAAATTGCAAGCCTTGGACGTAATCTAGAGCTCACTACGCAAGCGATGGAGAAAGGCTGAAAAGGGCCTGAGGAGGACTTTGCGGCAAGCTTGGTGGAAGCATCGGTGGGCGACATCAACCTGGTGTCCTCCGTCAAATCTCTCAGGCCCCTCTCTACCTGCCGGGCCACGCTGTCCAAGCCGATTGGTGTGAGAAACTGCCCCCTCGCCAGGCACCCAGAGCACGGATGCCGGTTTGCCGCCATGCGAGTTCTTGCTCCGCGTACCCCTGAACATTCGTATGGAAAAAAATGACAATCCTGCAAGGCTGATAGACGCTAGATGTCATATTTTCGGTTAGGATTGGTACAAGGCCACTCTACCAGTAGTGCGTGATAGATGCAGGAAGGCGAAGCGTGTCAGTTGTAAGCAACCACTGTGATATTCGTGCTTTAGAAAATGTTTTTTTTGATAATCTGGCTTTGCAGTCACATGTACAAGTACCCTTCTTTGTTTCATATCTTGAACGATCCTCCGATGGTTGTCCAAGCGCAACTATGCGAGTTACGCCCCTCGATTCGCAGCAGCTAGTGGCCTTGTTGGGATTGTGATTGAATTGTAACTGGTTCCCCATGGCTACTTTCCGCCGGACCAATAGAGAAAGAGGCTGGTCATGCGGCCTTTTTGTCACGGATCAGATGTATCCCTTACAGAAGCGCGTGGTCCGCCCCACTTGATCGAGTCAGATTGGCCGCCATGCAAGCTACACGCATCCGCCCGTGTCTTTCCAAGCCACGCCACAGGAAAGTGATGCACTGGCTAAACCACAAACTGATAATGCTGGGAGTACATAAATCGACAGTTTGCTGCCAACTTCCTCTTGTGGAAGCATGGAGATAGCCAGACAGATCTATCTGGGAGACGTGCGTGGATCGATCGGCGTTACAACCTTTACGATAATATCATCCATCACATTTTTCCATTGGGCGAGGCTTTCGCGCTGTTCTGCTGACACGAACTCTACCCATGCATACTGTAAAATGGTCAGAAGATCATTCCGAGACAGGTCCCTCTTTGTCAAAAGTTCAGCCTCACACAAACATGTTGAGAGCGTCTCTGTATGGCAAAAACCGCACAGGAAACCGGAACAACCCCAAAATTGTACGTCTTCCACGCGGTTTGCGCGGTCCTCACCGCCATTCGTAGAGTAGGCCAAAAAATCATAACAGCAGCTTGAGCGTCGAGGAATTTCGGTTAACATTGGTGGTATACCTATTCTATCCTGCGGACTACAGTTCCTCTCAAAATATATAAGAAAGCGGCGGATGCGGTCACTACTGTGCTAGGGAAGAGATCCGTTGTAAGTTCGACGTCAACTACATCAGCACGGCGGTATAAGGTGCAGGGTACGAAGAGGCAGCCTATGATGTAGCCGAGATGGGTTTGTCCTTGCCTCGGCCTTTGATACCCTTGTTGGAGTTCTTGTACAGTGAGGCAAAGTACTCCCAAAGCTCCTTGTCCTCTTGCGAGACATAATCGCCAGGGTTGATGGCCGCAAACTTCGTGGTAAGATGCCTGAGCGTAGCGGCATGGAACTTGTTTTGGTGCGACTACAGCGAGTTAGTTATGGGATAGAGAGCCAGGATTCACGAAACTGACCTTGAGGTTGCCTAGCAGAGTGAACTGCTTGTCACAATCGCCCAGCTTACAACTGAAGGGCTTAATCTGTTGGTGAACGATCTTATGGGCTCGAACGTTGCCACGTTGAGAGAATGTCTTGCCGCAAATGTCGCAGCTGTAGGGTCGCTCTCCTGTGTGACGCCTCTCGTGCGTCTTGAGGTTACCCAGCTGCGAGAATGATTGGCCACATCCTGGTGCTTTGCAAGGGAATGGCTTATCACCCGTATGAGCGCGGATGTGGATCTCAAGATGCGACTCTGTGTTGAAGCTCTTGTTGCAGTCTTGTAAAATGCACTGGTGACGCTTCCTGGGCTTCTGAGCAGTATCCGCTGCATTGTCCTGCTTCATCATTAGCGATGTCAAGCTGGAGATCCTCAAATCGAATGACATACTTTCTGCTCATTCTCTTGAGGTGGGTTCGTCTGTTTCGCCTGGATGGCACTCATGAGTTTGTCCACGTTGGTGGCATTGTCTCTGCTAATACCAGGCCACAGTATGTCTTCCTTCTGTGTGTCAGACCCGCCTTCTAAGAAGATTTTGGAGGCGACCGGTGAATGATGCTCATAATTTGTCGAGGTGGTAACCTAAATATCTTTGTCGAATTCCGCTTCATAAGAACCATAGGGAAGGTATGGCCGGTTGTAAGTCGAAACGACGCGATTTTCGTCTATCGTTCCTCCCGGGTAAAGAGTCTGTTGTCCACGTTGGTTTCAAGAACAGTCTTAAAGCAGATGTAAATCTAAGGGAGCAGCAGTTTCATGATGATATATGGTTTTAGAGCTGAATCAACATGGATGTGTTGCAGGTTGGTCAACACCTCGGAAAATGGCCCGATGGGGTACGCTGAGTCTCCTGAGGACGGACATGCATGTCGTATGCAAGATTGATACGTAATCTAGAAGAAAACACCGGATTGAGACATGATAGCGAGATAGACGGCGACAAGCTTGGCTAAGGATCTTACACTCCCATGTATCTTTAAAGTATTGATTGAGACGCCTACTGGCGGCGGGAGCGGGCCATAGCTATCGGTTGGGATACCCTTTCTTTACGAGCCAGTAACACTTTCATCGGTGTGAGCGGATGCGTCGTCCCCTCATATGAGTTGTAAGGTCAAAGCTCGATCGCCCGAGCTTATGGGTGCGGCACCCAGCATGCTAGGTGAGTTCAGTATCTGCTGCTGCAGCACAATGCGTGCCCATTTTCAAAAGCCACAACAGGGTCAACCATGCTCCCACACTGCGCAGTAAACAGCTAATGACAGACTTGGCTACCGTTACATGCAGTCAGAAATCCTGATTCAGCAATGCAGGAACCAGCTGTCTTCTAGAGGCGTTGGCGCCGCCAATAAGAGCTTGCAATACGACGCTTGCGCGATCCATCCATCCCTGCTTTAACGAAGAGACTGACATACATCTTTGCCATTACAGGAGCCGAGTCTTAAGAAAAGATTTCGCAATTCAAGGCGTTTCCGAGATCTGGCAATGCGACAAATTGGGGTAGGCTCTAGTACCAGGAGTCAACTAGTTATATTGAGCTTCACAGAGGCTCTCTCCTGTCAGAAATTGGCAACTAAGCCAATTCCCACGCCGCCTGCCCCAAGGCTGCCCGCCAATTTGTTGCAGGCTGCCAGACACATACAGTGGCCGAACTCCAGTCGGAACACAGCCCACAAACCGTACATGTTCACCGGAAAAGTAGCCTCCTTCCCATCGCTAACCCTGCGCCATGACTAGAGCCGCAGTCCGGTGAGAATTTGCGGCTATAGCATTTTGGCCAAATGTCAGACTTGAGAGCCATTAACCCAAGCAAGACATTTTCGACCTATCTCCTACACTATTTAGCCCACCCAGGCCTCCAAAGCCGCACGACATCAAATTCGTCTCTCGGGATCTAGCGCAACTCATACGTCAATGCGCGGACATATCCAACCTCCTCACAACAGATCCGAAGACAGCTGAAACATCAACAAAGACACCAACTGATGGTTACGACCGCTATCATGGATCAGCCTCAACCCACGACACCACTTTACCCGGCCATGGACCTCCTCAACTACGTGCAGGCTTGGACTGTAGGTTCGTACTACATGCTGGCTTGCATCTTCGGTCTGTGTATTTTACAAAAACCGCGATTGGTATCGCAAACGAGACGGCGAAGTATACTTGTTTCCATGCTCATAATCTTGATCGCGTACATCACAGAGGTTCTCTACTACTTCAGTCGGTCAATGGGCGAACGGGACTACGAGGCACCACAACCTGCAGCGATCCGCTGCCTAGGGTCGATGTTGGTCTGGAGTCCGCTGGCGTATATGCTTTGGTCGAGCAAGGCGCTACGATGGCATGCGTACTTTGGCGCATTTGTTCTACAGTTCGCTTTCGAAACTACGACATGTCTGATAACGGCCTTCTCCATCCCGGAAACGAGTCGGCAGAAGAACGCGCCCTTTGTGATTGACTGCGTTAGGGCTGTCGCTTCCCTTGTCTTACTGCTCGATGCGTTTGTCATTTTGGTCACTAAGCAGGCGAAGATTAGCACGGACGAGGAACGCCAATCCCTACTGGGAAAGCAAGCGAATACAGCAGCCACGCCTAAGGGAAATGCTGGGTATGGCACTATCCCTACGGAATCCGCAAGCGACGGCGAGGAAGCAGCGCCAAAAGACGACGACAAGGACATCAAAGCTCAACAGGCGAAGCGTCTCGAAGAAGAAGGTGGCTGGGTCGGATACCTCAAAGGCTTCGCTGTGTTCTTACCCTACCTGTTTCCGAAAGACGATTGGAAGGTCATGGCTTGCCTGTGTCTGCGGATCGTACACATGCTGCAAGAGCGCGTCTTTAACTTGCTTACTCCTCGGCAGCTTGGTATTATCACGAACAAGTTACAGCACTCTTACGAGACTCAGAGTGGGATCATGCCATGGAAGGATATCGGCCTGTGGGTGTTGTTCTCGTATATCAGCAGCTATGCGGGTCTCGGTATTGTTGACGGCATTGCGAACTTGGTCATATCAAACAGTGCAAACCGTCGGATCACCTTGCTAGCTTACGAGCACGTGCTAGCCTTGTCTATGGACTTTCACACCTCGAAAGACTCAGGCGAGGTTTTGAAAGCCGTTGAACAAGCTTCGTCCCTGAACTCGCTCATTGAGATGGTTCTCTTCGACATTGCGCCAATTCTGCTGGATCTCGTCGTAGCGATGTACTACATCACTCACCTGTTCGATGCATACATGGCTTTCATCATCCTCTTCATGGGCGCAGCATACATCGCCATTGGATTCTATTTTACGACTCTCTCCCAGCCCAAGCGAATAGACTATGTCGAGAAGCAGCGTACTGAGAGCTCAACAGTCAACGAGACCGTCCACAATTGGCAGACGGTCGCTTACTTCAACCGCTTGGCGTTTGAACACAAGCGTTACGCAGAGAACATCATTGCCACTATCTCTGCTCAATACTCGTACTACTTCCGGTCCATGGGCGGCCATGCAGCACAGGACGTTCTTACAACTTTCGGATTCGCGGGTGCTTGCGTCTTCGGTATGTCGCAAACCGTGACTGGGCGCAAACCAGTTGGTAATCTCGTCACTTTGATCATGTACTGGCATACGATGACGTCGCCACTCTACGTGCTTTCGTACAGCTACCGGCACATTTCTAGCGCACTCATCGACGCTGAGCGTCTTCTTCAGCTACTCAATACTAAACCTACAGTTGTCGACCGAGACGGCGCCGAAGACATCGTGGTTTCTGCCGGAGAAATTGAGTTCAAGGGCGTCGATTTCCACTACGAGGATCGGAAATCCATCATCAAGGGCGTTAACCTGAAAGCTGCAGGCGGACAAACCATCGCTTTCGTAGGCGAGACAGGAGGAGGCAAGTCGACGATACTAAAATTGCTCTTCCGCTTTTATGACGTTACGGGAGGATCCATCATGATCGACGGTCAAGATCTACGTTCAGTCACTCAAGCTAGTCTTCACGATGCCCTTGGTCTCGTTCCGCAAGACCCCGTCCTCTTCAATCAGACTATCCGTCAAAACATTCGCTACGCCAAACTCGATGCTTCCGACAGCGACATTGAAGATGCCTGCCGCGCCGCGGCTATCCACGACGATATTGTCGGCTTTCCTGACGGCTACAACTCGAAAGTGGGCGAACGCGGCGTCCGTCTCTCGGGTGGCCAACTCCAACGCATAGCTATCGCCCGCGTACTACTTAAGAATCCCAAGATCGTCATGCTCGACGAAGCAACATCGGCAATCGACTCCTCGATCGAAGCGCTTATCCAACAAGCCTTCCGCAAATTAAGCCAGGGCCGCACCACCTTCGTTATCGCGCATCGCCTGAGTACGGTTGCATACGCGGATCAGATTTTAGTGGTCGAGAAGGGTGAGATTATCGAGAGGGGAGCGCATCAGGAGTTGTTAAAGAATGAGGGTGGGAAGTATGCAGAACTTTGGTCTAAGCAGACTGCGGGGCATTTACCCAAAACGCCGTCGAAGGAAAATGTCAAGAAGGATGGAGAGGTAGAGGCGGCAGTGGAGATGGTCGTGAACAAGGCATCGAAGGGCGAGGACGAGGCGACGGCGACGGCCGTGGAACGGAATGGTGATAGTGAGGATACGATCGCGAAGCGTAGATTCAAGCCGGATTCAGATCGTTCAGAAGGCAAGAGCATCGAGTGAGGGACACATCAAGGGTTGCTGGACAATGAGGGCGGTAGGGTTACGGAGCTTTGGCCTAAGTAGGCAGCGGCAACGAATTCGTGGGGGCCGATGAAACGCCCATCGAGGAAGAGAAGTGCGGTGAGAGTGAGAGAGACAAGGGAAATGAGGACTGTGATGCCATGATTTTGAACGTTAACAGTGCAATGTCTCATAAAGATGTCTCGGGGAAAGCACCGGCCTGTACATTCGAATGAAACAGTGACAGACTAGCACAGTCAATTACAATCAGTTATGTGGCTTCCTCTCGCACGTCGTATACATACCGCAAAACTGGCAATGCAACCATCCCTAGATAACAGAGTAGATGTCAACCCTCGAACCATCGTCGCGTACATCGTTGAAGAGTTTATTTAAGTGTCGGGATAGTTTTCTAGAACATCTCCGATATTTGCACATGGAAACAATTGTATGAGCCATTGAAAGAAGAGTTGCTAGGTCCAGTGACCATTTGAATGATCAGAAAGTATTGCCGAGCTCGTGCTCGTTATAGTCTGAGTGTCTTCACCCGGAATATCTGAACCATCGTTGCATGCTGGGCTCATAGGCAATTGAGATCGCACTCATAATCGATTTTTGCCTAGCGGTGGACAACAGCAGAAAGCTCCTAGCATCTCTCTATTCCAACAGGCTGTACAAATCGTAGTATACAGTCCTTTCGCCATGGCACCAATGTCCCTTACTTCAATCCACTACACGCCAGACTTGAGTGCCCATTGGCATCTTAACTATCGTAGACTTGCATTCATGCTGTCGAAGGTCCTCCACTCTACTCACACGATAGCGGTCAGAATTGGCAGTTAGAGAGATGCCAACGCCAATGATCTTTTGTAGCAAGGATTAATTAGCCACTAATCACAGCGTCCGTTCGCCGGCTCCTCATATGTAACGATCTCCATCGCTCTAGCAAAGCCCCAACGGCGGCTATAGTCCATAGGCTCCCTTTGCTTGCTTTCATCACTCTATCTGCCGCCAACATCATGAGACACGTCGCCGATCTTCATATCACGGCTCTCGATGCTCTGTGTTCACCTCTTATACATCGTAGGATCCACTGGAATGTTTCACCGTAGTATCATGGGATCGTATGTTTCTATCTTCACATTGTTGAAGTAACTGTCGCGCTGCGCTACCACAGGATATTGCGTAGGATCTTGTTGTTGTGGCAATATGTTCGTCTCGAGGAAACAAGGCGTAGTAGAGATGCTTTCCGGTACAGAACTGGTGGAGCACAAATGCGCTAGACCGTCTCGAATATGGTGTGGAGACATGTCGCTAACGTGTGGTATAGGAAAATTCATCATGGCATGCTGGGCGGTATTCTGGGTCGTGACTGGAGGAATCAAATCGTTCGAGGGATACCAAGGCGATGTTGTGTTTCGACTTGCCTCGCGGTTCTTGTCGGTATTGAAGAGACTCGTCCCTGAGCCAGTCGAGATACGGTCAGGTGTCTGTGTGGGGCTCATACGAGAAGGAAATGATGACGAGGTGTTTGAAGGTCCAATAAGAATATTGGAGATAATTTCCGCGAAGCGACCAGGCGGAGTGCGTCCTACGGTAAGGCAAGACAACAGAATCAAGAATCGAGACTGATAATCGTGGATCGTCGGAACAGGTGCCTCAGGTAAGTGTTGAATAGCGTCAGCTAGGCAACACGCAATTTCATATATCTGCTCGATCTACGGCATTGTTAGCTCAAGTTCGGCCTGACTGATAGCGCAAAGGGTGGCATAGGTATAGCAGACAGAATGGTCAAGCCAGTTTGGCTAGTCATGGCATAGATGTCTGAGATAGACGTTGCCTACTGTGGCGATAGTGCGATCGAAATATGACAAGGATTGTTCCAACAAGAGATGGAGGTACTCGAGCGGAGACAATCTCTAGGGTTGGGGCTGACACGCAAGGGAATAGGAAGTTGCTCACCAGTACTGCGCTGTAAACCTCCTTGGCTTGTTGGGTAGATCTCTGTACAATAGGGAAAAGATCCCGAGCGATTTCGATTGGGTATTTGAATGTAAAGAGGATGTCATTGGACACGCTGGTCACAAGGCCCTCCGAGACGCTTAACTGCCAAATTTTCGATCTCAGCCATTGTTTTGTGATGTGGATCCGGACTTCCTGGACTTCTGTGTACTCGAAATGTGCGGGGATGGCCTTTGACAGTTGGGTTTGGACTTGTGTAATCCATGCAGCGCTTGCACGTGTATCGTACACTCGATTCCAAACGTTGATGAAAGTGTCGTCAACGATCTTGAACATGTTGATCATGAGTTCTAGTCCAGCAGCAATGGGTCGATCGGATGGGACCTCATCCAGTGAAGGCGGTTGTATGGTCGGGCGTAAGGAAATTGGGCGATGTTTGTGTAACGCATAAGTCCTACAAGCAGTTAGCAGGGCGCATAGGGAAAACATGTTGCCTTGTAGTTGTACCTTTCGGCTACGAAGAGAAGCCAATACAGGACTCGTCTGCGTGATATATCGAGAGGGTCATCTTTGTAGGTCTCCTCGTCATGCATACCAAGTAACTGCGCTTGTGTGGTGGCATCTCGGAGATATGTCCATGCTGTGTTCTCGCACGCTAGTCCGAAGTAGCAGCCACTGTAGAACCACGATGTGAGCACGCTGTAGTGTGTAGGATTCTCACGGTGGTCGTAGCCTTGTCGCACACGAACCGACTCCTCGAGTAGGACATGGCCGATGCCAACGTTTGACATGTGGGCCATTTCGGGACATGGTAGTACGCTGACGGGCGGGTTGTGGTTGGCCTGAATCATGACGTAGGCGCATAGTGCGACCACCATGCAGTATGCCTCTGTCGAGCGGTCCATACCGACAGCGGCTTCTTGCGCTCTTTGGCGGTGCAAGACGGGCTCTGAAGGGTAGACATGAGCGAAAAAGTATTCTATGCAACTCTCAACGAGAGCGGGGGGCAAGAGGCCTGGTATGCGAGCAAATGCTGAGGGTAGTGACCGACCATCGAACCCAAGATCGGTTGGGAATCCTGCAGCAAGTCGGGCATTGCGTTGAGTTTTGGGAAGTTTAGACAGGACCTTGGCGCGGCCTTTAGGTCCTTTCTTCTGTGGGATCAAATTGTATGTACATGCAAGACCAGCAGAGACGCAGTTTTTGCAAGGGGCCGTGCCTTCACCAATACACTTGATCTTTCTTCGGTGACAGCTACAATTTGACGAGTGAGTGGTGTGGCATATGAATGTGTACCGACGATACGTACCTATCGCAGGCTCGCTTGGTCGGAACTGTTTCTGTAGACTTGCCTACCATGATGAATACAAGCGAGTGTGGGGACTTGTCTTTCCCTACCTGGTGAAGAGTTTAGATGCCAGTGGATCTGCTGGTCTCTATAAGTACATCACGCATGTTGCGCCTCCGTTGGGGACGGTGCCCCTGACTGTCCATTGTGTCATTGTGCTTGCATGAGCGCTCCTTTGCACCTGTTAACCGTAAGACTGGAAATTACAGGCATCGAACGTGCAAAGAAACATGAATAAGTGGGCTGAATATGGCTAGTGTGTGGATCCAACAGTCTGGTGTGCAGAAGTGGCTTGATGCTCCGGTTGTACAGGCGGGGAGAAGAGCCCACAGGTCACGCAAAGTCAACAGATTGCACCAGTGGATGTCTCTCAAAGAGGCCAATCTGGTTACGATCGGCTCAGCGAGGCTTCCGGTAGCGCCACGGCTGCTGGGGTGCACCATGGCAGGTGACATAACGCAACGAGGCGCCAAGTTACAGTCTCGTTCCTGACTCAGCCAGAGTGTGCCGCGCTTTAATTTGCTCTGGTTAGGCAAGGGTCGACACAAGAGGAAGGCTCACCGTGGCCCCGCCGGAACGACGCAAGAGCAGCATGGTCGCTGATCGAGACAGTGGATCCTGTGGAACTTTCCACCCGGTGAATGCCCACAAGCTCCCAAGATGAAAGACCCAGCGCTCATTGACAATGATGACGCTCGATGAGGGTAACACGTTACGTCGCAATCAGTGGACTGGCATAGGAGTGCGCACATATGGACCTGGACATAACTGTCCATGTGCGTCGGCCCTGCCGAAAGACGTCGTTCAGTAAATGCGCAGCTACGCATCCCACGGCCACTTAGGATATTTTCAGATAGGGCATGACGCTAGGGGTTCGACACCACGCCGCTAGGAGCCTCACTGCATGGTTATGAGAGCCCCGGTCGATAGAGATGGACTAGGAAAGGCACAAGACTAGCGTGAAAGAGGGGCAAGAACGGTAGGAAGCGTTGAGTGCGACGATCAATGCACAGGCACCAGCTCGACGAATCGAAACACTCCTCACACCGCCCATTATCTACAAGCTGTGACCACCATCTCATATGCAGGTCCGCAACAATCTTCCTGCTCGCTAGCACAGGTCATCGTGCTGTAGTGATTCAGCGGCGGCTCGGCTACTAGCGTATATGCGGTATCCAAGCAGATCCATGTACATCGTGGCGCTGGCCTAAGGTTCACTAGCCCTGTTTCGGCCTTGCGTTAGTATGAAAAGCCGCCATGGCGAGACAACCATACGGTCAGCTGAGAGATCAGCAATGTACTGCGTCCAGTGTGATTGGGTCACCCAATGATTTGTGGGCAAGGCTGCTACTTTCCCACTCAGCCCGTTGTGGACGGTTGACACGTGCGAGAATGCTCCGCCGCAAGTTGACAGCCAAGCCGTTTACGGTAGGTTTCCCCTCAACATTTGGGGGCGAGATGCGCTACCACTCTCCAAGTTCTGAAGGCATTGTCTACTTACCCTGTTGCATCTGGAGTTGTAAGCTCCTCCCATATACGCATGATAGTGGTATGAGGATGAGAAATTATCATGCACAAACAGTGGATAGTTTATGCCAAGACGCTTCGTGATAGCGTTTCTGCCACAAGACAGCCGGGTATGAGAAGATCAACATCGAGCTTCGGCAACGTGAGCTCATCTACTGACCGCGGTCTTCGCTTGTCAGGCGCAGGAACTAGAGCGGAGAACGGAGAGCCAAAGCAGCGGCTGTTTAGGGTAGCGCCTCCAGGCTAAACCTCGAGGACGGGCTGCAAGCCCACATTACCAAACTTTCCGTGCCGTGTCATTTCTTGATATATACCCACAATGCAGATGTATATGCCCGCCAGTCTTTCTCCCTTGTATTGTGCCTAACACGCTTAGTCGTTCCCACACTCGCACGGATGAACCACCCTCACCACCCTCACCACCATCAGGAATCTTTTGAGTATTACCATTCTGGATGGGATGGACATAACGGATACAATCCGCACCATCAGTCTCCTGTGCAAGACTACAATGGCTTCAACAGTTTTGCGCCGCTCCTAATGGAACCTATCTACGGGACTGGCATGCATCCACCACACCAAACGCACCCGACACCGAGGACTACACACCCACAGCTGCAGCCTCTGATCATGCCACAGATGCCGCAATGGCCGAGCATGCTGACCAGCCAATCGACCTATCGAGCTTCACTGTTTCCTTCAGCCCCACCACCGATAACGCCGGCATCAGCGACTCTAGTCTCAGCGAGCTCAACTCACTCCCCTAATTCGTCGAAACCACGGAAAACCCTCACCAACTCGGAACGCAGACGCATGTGCCAATACCACGAAGAGAACCCTACAGTCAACCAAACGGAAATTGGAGGTATGCCAGCATGATGCACCTATCCATACGGAACGTTCACTGACACTACTCCAGCCATGTTCGGCGTAGAGCGAAGGTACCACTGCGCATGCTGTATGTCTCTTTCTGTGCTGACTATCTAGTAGCACCGTTTCCAAGGTATTGCGCCAGAAGGAGAAGTACTTGTACCAGGACGACGGCAGCCGATCACCCATAAAAAGGTCGAAAGGCAAGTTTCCTGATATCAAACGTACGTTGTCAAACTGGGCAAGAAATCACCAGAGACAGGGACTGCCACTGTCAGATGCCATTATCCGAGAGAAGGCACGCTTCTTTGCCCAGACCGTTGGCAACTCGAAGACTCATCCCCAAGTAAACAGCTCGTGCTGGCTAGAAATGTTCAAGCAAAAGAACCATCTCATGGGAGCAAGGGCAAGAAAGGGCTCGATAGCGGAAGAGTCGGAGGGGGCTACCAACCCGCCATCGAACGTGCACACGCCAGGAGCCATCTCGGATCCCTCGCCTGGCCGGGTATCGCCTGCAACCACGACCATGAAAGCGAAGAAAAGTCAGGAAAACCCCAAAACAGAAAGCCCAGACACGTACGAGTCCTCGAACCATCGTCGGCTATCCCATTCGCAAAGCAGCACTTCTTTGTCGAGCGTGTTCACCGATACAGCCATGAGCCCTACATCGCTTTCGTCGCCTTTCCTCACGCCCGATTTAGCATGCGGACCAAGCCCGTTCATAGGAAACCGCCAGCCGGTGAGTGGACAGCCAGGCAGCAACAACTTCCAGCGGCCGCGAAGTCAGACCTTCCCTATGCTTGAGGGTGTCGAGCAGTATATGTCGCAACCAGGCTCATCTGATGCGCTGACTCCAAAGTACGTCAGTAGCGGTGCACTCAGTTCCCCTACGACCGAGATGCCTGGCACGCTGCCAGCCATTAATGAGGAAATGCCACTCTCCTCAACTCAAGACCCCAAATCGATGCAACCCCCTCCTCTACCGAGTTCCAGCCAGATTGGTGGCAAGGGGTCATCCGCCGTTTCCTCACCCATCGCACCATCCCAAGAAGAAGCTGCACGCGCATTAGAGCTCGTTTCGAATTTCCTTCAGTCACAAAACGCCGGTTTTGTTGTGGAGCCGCACGAGTATGTTACCATCGGCAAGCTGATGGAGAAGCTACGAATCAAGCGCAGATCTGAGTGTCTTTCTTCCGCCATGCGACGTGTGTCAGAGCCCACTCTCACTATGACTAAGCTCGAGAGTGTTGATGCAGTCCATTAGCGAATTGGATACGTCACTCGATCCATCGTTTGTCCTATGGCGCCTGTCGCAGCACGTACACACTTGCGATCTCTCACTTGTGTGGAACGGTCTCCAAAAGATCCACGATTGGCTACATCCTCGCGTCTGCATCTCTACCATCGCTTTCGGATCCTTAATCATCGATTTTATCCGGTCCAGGCGCCGGCACAAGATCAGACTGTTTATCGCAAGGAGCCAATGAAAATGGCAGGGTCATATGCACATGAGCCAATTGATTCATGTGGCAGTACGGATACATTCTCTGAGAACACGCCGGGTTCTCGAACATGGCTAAAGAAGAAGGTGTTTGTCGAGAATTAGAAGAAGAGAAATTGGCATGAGGCGGCTGTGATGAGAAGGGGGACGATGGTTTTGGACGTATCCAAAGAAAGCACGTTCAGTTCTGAACCGGGGGACCATAGTTCATCTATTTAGGACAGCACTATGGGAAAGGAATGGTTGCGGCCTTGAGGACCTGGTGGTATGGGAGATGAGGCAACTAGATTGACTCCTGTCGTTCATCAGCATAGTTCTCTGTATGCTGTAGCGTAGGAATACTTCCCATACACGGAACAAACCTTTACCTGTCTCATCGTCCCGAATCGACTTGCTTGGCTCTCTAGTGGAATCATTGGACTGTATACCCAAGTACGTGGTGGCAGACTAGTTTTGTAAATCATCATAAGCGATTTGTCCTTCTCTTGCATCCCTTCAGCCTCGGTACTACGGAACCTCACTATCATTTACCGCCCATTCAAGCCAACTACCTGATTTCAACTCAACGACGGCTGTAGTGCACATGACCCATTCCGATGTCACAAATATGAGAAGCGGCGCCGGTACTGATACCATGTCTCTTGATGCTCTGTCTCTACTGTCCCCACATTGATGTGGGGACGGGATTTTCCTTGGGTAATATCTTGAGACCATGTGCCATTGCGTCGATCTCCAAGCATTCACTCCAAAGTCGTTGCCCTCAAGACACGAGAATCGTATGCTGGAGTGGTTTCTGGATAGTATCACAATTAATCTTAATTTCATATATAGAGGCTTTGAAGTATATCTCAAATGAAAATCTGTTCTGCATTCGTTCTAGAAGGATTCCCTGCCAGGGAATCCTTTCAATGTAGTACCACAGCTGTTGTTTTCTCACTCTCACTCTATATTACTACCTCCCTGGGTGCGCTAAGGAGGTGTCTGGAGTAGCGGTCTTATCGCTTCGAAGCCAATGTTGCCCATCATGTTCAATACTGTTGGTCTGGTTATACCACTGGTAGCAATGGGCGTTCGTGTGACCTTTTTCATATATCGATTGGGGCTGACTGCCACTGGTCGTGCATTTTTGGCACCCACCTGGTGGCTGAGCTGGGAGAAGTGGTGCTGGTCTGACAACCTTGACAATTCTCGGTGAAGGAGGGAGGAGGAAGGAGCGGGAGGAACAATCCCATGATGGCACTCTTGACGTCTTCACCTCGTCCCTTGAGTAGCTCTCCCGCACCATCCTCCTCGAGTCCTTCCAGAGCATTGACACCGGTTTGGAAAACATAGCGGTTGACAGCTTGGACAAATCTATCTTGAAGCTTCTTCAGCTGTTGCTCCTTCTCGGCCCACTCCCAGGTGCTGGCGGATACATCAACAGAGTAGATGTCCTTGTGGTACTTGATAAGCGCTTCGATGGTCTTGGATGTAAGCTTGAATGCAACCTCATGTTGTGAAACCATGTCGACGTATACAACGTAGGCCTCGATGTGAATTAGCTGGTAGTTGAAGAGCGCTTCTACTAGTGGGTTGGAGTCCTTGCGCAGTTCCGAATCCGGGGCCTTTGGTACCATGATGGAGCAAAGCGACCACATAGCGCTGGATTTCGAAAGGATTTCTGTGAGAAATCCCGTGTGTTGTTGTACGTTGTTCAACGAACGCCTGACCGTTCTTACTCTCTTCAGCGTTTGTGTTAACCATGGCTCGACCTGGGAGGCTAGTACGACTTTGACGTTTGATCTGGGCGCAAAGGCCGCAGCCGAAGCGGGCAGTAACGAGATCGGCATTGTGTGCGGATGGTATTTGCGAGACGATGAGCTATTAGAGGGGACGGCTTACCAAGGATTTAAAGAAAAGAACAACACAGCTTGTCTCGACGCTCATGGCTCCTTTGAGCCGGACTCATGGGAAAGAGACGACCCTAGGGACCGGGCGGCTCCCGTGTCACAGTCGATGTGCACCCCTTACAGATGCGCGCGGTTCGCCCCACTTGATCTCATCGCATTGGCCGTTATGCAAGGGTCCGTACGTCTTAGGCTTCTGCTCTTCACTGCCGTACGGCGCAGGGGGGTTCTTGGACGTTGATATGTTGTACAATCAAGCTTTAGCAACATGTCAACACTGCCTTCTCTTACCAACGCCGTATAGACACTTTGTTGACAGGGCACATACACTCTGACCGCAATAGAGCAATTGCTCCATGCCTAAAACCTGCCTCGGCCCGGTACGGTGTAGAAAATGGATAAGCGCGCAAGACGTGCGTCGCTAGTTTGCTAGCGTATCTTAGCAAGCCTAAGGGGCCGCCCAGCACGTCGTCAAAGCCCTCATTAGAGTATGATGTACTTGACGCCCATTTTCGCATAATCTGGACTACGTGCGAAAGAGCCACAATTGAGTCTCAAGAGTGAGGATGAGGCGACTACGAAGCAAAAGAAGGTGCTGGTCTTTGTATATTTTCTAAGAAGAGCACGTTCAAATCGAATTGGCCACGCCGCGGGTCACGTCTTCAAGACGGCGCCATGGAAAGCCATCAGTTGAGGCTTGAGAAGCTGGTGGTATGTACGATGTAGCAGTTAGATGGACTCCTGTCGTTCATTGACACATTGGTATGTACGTTGTAGCGCAGTGATAGATAGCTGTACTTTTGGCAACAACCTCATACATAGAACGAACTCTCCCCTGCCTCACCATCTCGAATCATGACATTTGGTGCGTATACGCGGGACCACAGATCCTCTTGCTGGCAGTACCGCATCACGACCCACCTGCGCCAGAAAACAGCATCTCAATGCACTTCGTCAGCAGATTGCCTGCCTCATGCAACAACTCCCACCTCGTCTTTTTGAACATATCTCTCATGATGATCAATAATCCCAAGCAAGCATTGCAATTCAGAGTTCCGCTCAAGTCTTCAGGTGACCTTACACCGCCAACGCGATTGAGATACAGTACCATATCCTTGACCTTGTCCTCATAACTTAGGAGTTGGTACCGCTCCTTGACAGGCCCTTCCAGCGCAAAGCCGTACGACCAGACAATCAGTGTGGCAAAGTACAGCGACCGTGGTCGATATAGAAGGTGGTCGTCGCGCGTGGAGTAGGAGAGAACGGCGCTGGATGGGGTATTTGGGTTCGGACTGTGATCTCCTGCAAGCAGAACAGTGCGAAGAAAGCGGAGGGCGTGGAAGGTGGCCCGCCGGGCTCGGACAGTGGGAGCCCACGCTTCCATGCGGCGTTGCGCGCCGTGGTAGTCTTGCAGGAATACTGATCTCCCAAGTAGTTTGGGAGCACCCGCATAAATCTGGCAATCGACAATATCGACGTGCATGGCCATATGCGCCAGGTGGTAGAGGTCAGTCCGGGATTCGAAGACGTTGTCGTCATCAATACCATGAGAGTACTCGTATGGATTCGAAGCAGGGCAGTCTTCCGATCGGTTCAGTGCGCTGTCGAAGTCCTGCTTCCAGAAGTCAAAGCCAAGGATTAAGGGTCCTCGCCACTCATCCTGTCCACCAAGTACTGTTGTTGCACCGAGCGAGCTGATTTGCAAATCCCGCTGGTTCATGTGCCACGACACGCTCAGCAAACCTGCCATAAGTATCGTGCGTCCGAAAGAATTGGTCCGTACCGTTTGTCCGTTCAATGTCTTCTTAAGACCGTCAAGGAAGGATATCGGTTTAATGCCATCCGACGTCAGGAACTGCTGAACCCGACCTACTTCAGAACTACTCATTGCAGACCAGAGAGCTTCGTCACATGGCAGTGGAAGACGCATCTCGTGAGCAACCATGACAGCGCTGTGGCCAAACATGGTAGCGTGCAGTGGTGTATTCGGTCTTGAAGAACCCCTGTCAATATTGATTCTTCCCTATGGAGTTCTTCAACATTGAGAAAATATTGAGGATATTGAGGATATTGAGGATATTGAGGATATTGAGGATATTGAGGATATTGAGGATATTGAGGATATTGAGGATATTGAGGATATTGAGGATATTGAGAATATTGAGAATATTGACAGGGGTTCTTCAATACCGAATACACCACTGCTGCTAAGGGTGGTGGTGGAGCCAGGAGGCTGGAAGTTTGGCGGAGGCATTCGGTTGCCAGGGCCAGTGTTGGAGGCTCCAGAGGACGGAGACTGCATGCCACACGGCCCTTGGGTCTTGATGCCGTGTGGTTTTGAAGGCGGTGCATTCTTTCCACCCAGTGCAACTGTCCCGATGAGGTCCAGATCATGCATGTTGAAAGTATACTTGCGCAGTAGTTGCGAGCCGCGTGCCATGTGCCTCTCCTTGTGGCGGGCGCATAGGTCTTGTCAGACGAAGGGGCGGTGGCAATCGGGAAAGTCGCAATGGTAGACTTGCTTACGGTTGTCTATACAATGTCAGCCTTGTCATTCCAGCGCTAGCGAGGCATACTGAGAATGGTGCACTCACGGTTCAATTGATGGCGGCACAAATGCTCTACGCGAGAGTAGCTCTTTTCACAGCCCTAGTGTTGGCACTCAAACTTCTTTTTAAGGCCCTTTGTCATGTTGACGGTCCCGGATCCTGCCGCTGTTAGGCGATGCGGGAGTGGAAGGCTCACTCGCAGCACCGACAGTTGAATTTTATCGTCTCCAAAATCCGTCTGGGACTTTCTCAGATCTGACGCGCTTGTAGACAGAACATGCGCCGTTATCGTTGGCGAGGGTTCGAGTCCAATGTCGTGTGTCTTTAGTTTGCTGAGAAGTAGAGTTTGTATGACCTGATAGCGAGAGAACTCTGCATGGCCTTCGGATGATGTTTTTATAGTCTTGAGAAGTTGTTTACCGGGTTTTAACGAACCAGCGTGGGGCGGCAGCAAAGTGAAGTGAGTCTTTCAGTCGAAACGAGCAGCGGGTAGGTCAACACAACCAATGATTCCCCGACAGTTCCGCGATATCTTTAGTGCTTCACATTGAAGCAGTGGTGGACTTGGGAGGCTGTTGCGATGGCCTACATGTACAGCGGCAGAGATCGTTCACAGTCCGACATATTCGTCCGCTGCGTCTCGGTAGGCTCTTAAGCGCTAAAGAAGTCCGACTGTGATATTGGCAAAACACCTGGCGCGGGGTGCTGCTTTCCGCGTCCGTAGTCGATCTTTGGAGATGCACCTAAAGATGAAGATGCTTGTGTGCCTGGTACCATATGAGCAGCCAAGGTCAGGACTTCTGCAAGCCAATCACGCTAGCGCGTGGCGTTGGTCGACATAGAGACGTTCCCGCGCTGCATAAGCCTGAGCTTACTTTCCAGAGCACGCAGGCTATGGTGGAGATGTGCCAGAACGTAAAAGGCTTAGAGGTCTGGAGGCGATATCGAGCCCTTGCACGGCGCATGAACGCGATGCAAGCCTCCTGTCGCCACGGTCTGTCTCTCCTGGCCTGCCCCACAGATTGCTGCCCTTCCAGGCTGACTGGGCCGCTAGTGCTCAAGAAGTTGCTGCAGCCGCAAGCCCCGTCTTGACATACGGGGTCGAGTTGCACAATTCATTCTTTTGATGCTGCAAGGCATACAAGATCAGGCCTAAATTGACTGCGTGGATGAGGACAGGCGCCCCCCTCGTCTCACCTGTTATGCCCAGATGGAGTTGGAGCCATTTCCCGGCAGCAACCAGCGTTTCGCGTCTAGCTTGCCCGATAACTCTCGTATGGTTTGGCTGTGATCTATGACGAAGATTGGACATTGCCAATACTTATAACTGTGGTACCCCTACTGGGAGACGTAGAACTTCAACAAGTCATTGTCAAACCGCCCTTAAACCCTTCATCGATTATCTTCCTGCACCTATCGTTGCTCACGATGTTTTATTCTGGGTGTATCAAGCTGAAAGTACGTGACATTGTCCATCCTACGTGTTGATCTAACAGGCACATAGCGCCAGAGTGCTGCATCAGATACACAAGAAACAGCAGACGAGGATAGTTGCCTTGGAGGGTTTTGGAAACTCGTCGGTTGGACGACTTCCAGTAATACCACATCTAAGACAAGATCAGACCAGCTGGAGGGGTGGAGCTCGCAGACGGATGGTTGGGAACACGATGTACCCGCTTTGAATCCGCATGATTCACGTGCCACAGAGAAGCCGAAGGTGCTTAATATCCTTGAGATCATTGGTAAAAATATCAAAGCATTGGTTGAATATGAAGTGCCGGGATGGACAGAGACATTTGAATATGACGTGCCGGGACGGACCAAGACATTTGAATATAAAGTGCCGGGATGGACCAAGAGAACACCGCAAGTATTTACGTTAAGAGAGTTTTGCGAACTGCGCAATGGTCCAGACCTACTAGCTAAAATGAAGCAGAGCACTTCGTTGCAATAAAAAAGTTTCCATCCAGATTACCATATCGAGAAGCCTACAGTTCCAACCGACTCTTTGTTAAGAATCCCAATGACTTTAAGGTGATCTCTTTCTTACTTTGGTGAGAACATAGCACATGGCAGAATACTTAACTTCGATTGACGCTTTACCGAGAGAGCTCAATAGAGACGGAAACTATCCTCGTCTGTTCGCATTTCCTCGACAGTCGTGTGCTTTGCCGCCACTGATCTGTGTAAGTAGTTGCATGCGAAGACTGTCGACCGCTGCACCCAGCTGCATATCCGGTGTGGCTCTCGATGTCTCCAGAGCTTTTATTCATTACTTTCTCCGACAATCACTCGCAAACTCTCTTCCGTTGGCAAGATGTCAAGGTAATTGCCGCGAGTCAAGATGCGGCCCAACAAGTCTGTTTTCAAGTTATATCACATAGGCTATCTTCTCCCGTTTTTTTGTCGTGCCTCCTCGTTAGACCACAAGCGTAATACAACCGCAAGAGAAGTAACTAGCACAGCTGAAGCTGAAGGGTATTTCATCTGTTAGAATAGGGTATCAGACTCTCACACTTGATCCCGTACAAAGCTTATGTGTCCTTGAATGAACACAAACTCATGTCAAGACCCCTATCTGATGGGAGACCCATAGAGAGTCATTCTCGAGATTCAGAGATAACGTATATATTCTTTCATCGCAATTTAAATTGCAGTGGAAATACAAGTGCAAAAGGTGCCTTTTACCAGAGTCGATGGTACTAGCTCCTTCCTTGCCATTCAAACCTGCTGTTCAGAGGTTTCCACCTTGCCCGAAATCCATAATTCTGTCATCTTACGGTCGATTTTAGAACCCCCACTCAAGCTCCACCGTTGGGTTTTCCTACTGTCGGAACTTACAGTGCTGCTCGATGACGAGTAAGCCAAATTCGCTTCGAGCTGTGTTGACTAGTTAGTTACGTCTCAACACAGACCTGTAGAGTGACATACAGAAGGTTGCGACCCGTTTGAAATACCCCGGCAAATTCGATACACCTCCATGAACGGAAAGAACCTGAAGCTTAAAAGTGACATCGCGAACAAGATCCACTGTTTGCTAATCAGTGAAATGAACCATCAGAAAGCGAGAACAAAATACCACTGGTAGATCTTCGTACACCCGTTTGTGACGAAAGAAGAAGCCAATAAGCACGAGAAAAGCAACGGCTTCCAGAATGGCCACAAAACAGCAGATGATACGGCTTCGTTGGGTATCACTAGCGCTTTTGTTTCCGGGCCAAATTTGCCTCAATAGCAGTAGTACCTGGATCACACATATGATCAGGCCAAGAAGTATAGCTGGCAGATGAATATACCATTCGTTATGGCCCGTGTAATCCAGGCGCTCAAGAGTTGGAGGCAGAAATGACAGTAATGGATTTAGGAAGCTGCAGATGCATACTCCGTAAAACAGCCAGGGTTGTCCACTAAGTAGAATCAGCGAGGTATACACACACTGCGAAGTGTTAGCATCGTATACAAACAGAGGGTTAAAGAAGAAAACGCTTGCCTCTGCGAATACAAGAGAAACACACGCACTTCTCTCGGCAGCTCCCATCCATGTCTGCAATCCTGTTCCTGTAGATAGACCCAGAGCGGCGATTGATAGGAGAAGGGCTATGACCCCGCTCGCGACAAGTCCACCACGAGCCCACCTATAAGCTTTATCGCTCAAACCGAAACCAAGCGTACTGGGAGCACGAGGAGGATGTATGCTTAGTTTCCAATGTGCAATCGGAGTGACGGTCAATCCAACGACAACGGATGGTAGTAGAATTTGATGATAAGACAGCATTTGCACGGCTGGAGCTTTGATGTTCGGATGATGCGAGACGAGAAGGCGATGCAAAGAAGGCAAACGAAAGGTGCTGAGCCTCACATTCTGTGCAGCAAGGTACGATCATTAAAAACCGTGCTGCAAGAAGGATTCGAAGGAGGGTGTGAAGACCGGGAACCCTGCTCATCCACCAGACCATCTCCAAGCACATCCGTACCCGTTGCATAGTCTCGCTTCGAGCGGAAATATGGCACCGGGAGTCGAACGACTTCTAGTTGAACAGCCTTTAATCCCTACTAGGCAGCATCAGCCGTCTGAGACACTGCCCGAACTCCTGGTTCGGAAGTGGCTGAATCGACAATCGATAAATGACGATGTGGAGAGCGCATGTGCTTCCCCGGCCCGCTTGTGTCGGTTTCGTGCCGTACAGCCACACTGGAGATGTGCACATCTTAATGTTTACAGCACGGGGTACAGAGGCCACTTGCGACTTCGTCATATAATGCAGTTTTGATTACGCAGACTCAAGGTCTATGCAGATCGGCTTTAGATTTGCGCATCCCTCAATAAGTCCAGTCTTTGTACGAATGACCGTCGAGCTCTCTATACTGGCGCAGCGTTCATGAGGGTGATTTGCGCTGCGACCTGCCTCTCGTGCAAGTGGTCTGGAACGAGATGAGACGTCGAGGTAAAGTTCTCGCTTACGGCCTGTCAGCGAACGCCAGGTACATGGATTGTGCACGGCCACTAGCGGCATGAGCGGGATGTCAGGTGTCGGAAAGGCCCCCACAAGCGCTCGTTCGCTCGACAGGCCTACCAGGTTTGACGCACGGATGGTGGGAAAGACCGCCTAATCGGCTCACGTTGAATACGTGTCTACGGTCGCTACTAGCTTCATTATTCACAGCCACTGCACTATGTTCAGACCCCATGCTTCACGAGTGACAGCCAGACTTTTATTAGGATCAGCGGAAGGAGACCTCGGCTGTCGTTCGCATCGCAAGATTGTTTTCTCACTTTAAAAAAGCGAATAAGAATGTCGGCGATGCTAGAGAGGACAAATATAACATAACTCGGGAGAAGTACAGCAGGTCGTAGTCGATTAGAGGCTTAGTCACGTTTGGTGTTGTGCGTGTTGAACACGAACAGCGAGCGCCTACTAGCTATTCCCGGCTAGCTCAAACAATTATCAAACAGTCACATGTTGATAGTGGCGTCGATCGCGCCTATAGCCGCATTCCACGTATCCCCGTTTTCCACGCACCGTCGCCTTGCACCCATCGCCGCATTCCACGCACCGTCGCCTTGCACGCACCACCGCCTTGCACCCATCGCCGCTTTCCACGCACCACCGCCTTCTACACACTGTCGCCTTCCACGCACCACCGCCTTCTACACACCACCGCCTTCTACACACCGTCGCCTTCTACGCACCACCGCCTTGCACCCATCGTCGCCTTCTACGCACCACCGCCTTGCACGCACCACCGCCTTGCACCCATCGCCGCTTTCCACGCACCACCGCCTTCTACACACCGTCGCCTTGCACGCACCACCGCCTTGCACCCATCGTCGCCTTCTACGCACCACCGCCTTGCACCCATCGTCGCCTTCTACGCACCACCGCCTTGCACCCATCGTCGCCTTCTACGCACCACCGCCTTGCACCCATCGTCGCCTTCTACGCACCACCGCCTTGCACCCATCGTCGCCTTCTACGCACCACCGCCTTGCACCCATCGTCGCCTTCTACGCACCACCGCCTTGCACCCATCGTCGCCTTCTACGCACCACCGCCTTGCACCCATCGCCGCTTTCCACGCACCACCGCCTTGCACCCATCGCCGCTTTCCACGCACCACCGCCTTCTACACACCGTCGCCTTCCACGCACCACCGCCTTGCACCCATCGCCGCTCCTCCCTCATTAATACACCTTCCAGTAGGCAATGACTACCGAAGCGCTACCTGTTGCAGATCTCAGTACATTTGGAAGCCCGAAAACTATACTCGATTTGCTAAATTCCGCAAATGAGAATCCCCAGTTAGGCGCCCAGGTAGACTTTCTTGTAACATGTTGGAAGTTAGCCAAGGCCGTCAAGCTGGCACCAAAGATCAAATCCTCATTAGGGTCGCTTCTGGAAGAGAATAAGAAAAACGGCGTTCGTTTTGACGATGACCAGCCCTGGGATGCTAAAGTGAATCGCTTAAAGCAGCGAATTCAGGACAATAAGACGTCCAAAGCAGCACCTATGTTGAAGTCCTTTATCGAGACAGCTGACATTGTCGGGTGGGCGTATGGCGAGGAGCAAAAGCAGCGTTTTACAAAACTGTCAGAGCCTGTCAACTCGTGCAACTCTACACTGTCTTTTCTGAGAGTGATAGTGGCCTTCTCCAAAGGTGAGCATGACAATACGGAGCAAACTTCCTCGCTTGAACAGCCCACGCAACATCCAAATGCAGTCCCTTCGGGTTCCAAACGTGCTTTTGAGCACTCCATAGAGCCACGTCCCAAGAAACAGCGCCTTGAAGGAACCGATGACTTCGCCAAGCCCTTGTGGGACGACAGTATGCGCCAGGGCCGTTGTACTGTTGGCAGCAGCCCTCTGCTTCGAGAAGAGGCATACGTTCCCAGCGAGACATTGCTTTCGAATCAAGAGCCCTTACATAGCGAGTTATCAAAGTTGCAATACTACGGGGAGGAGGAGATTCCCGGCACAGGCGATATACGCGTCGTATATCGTTGGAGCGGCCGAGCAGCTTTGCTTACTCTCGTAGATGGCTGTCACATCGGGGATGATAAAACATGGTACCGGGAAAACATCGCATTGGACTTGCTGCCGTTCAATTTCTTAGCAGAGATTATCAAGCAGTCCGACAGGTGGAAGAAGGAGAATGTGAAAAGCTCGGAGAAGACAAAGTGTCTGCAAATCTGCATGTATCAGAAACCTCTAAACGCCTACTGCTTCCTTGACTGCGTTGTCCCAAGCGCGTTGGTGTCTCAGTGTCGGGGCATATATGATATGGATCCCACCCCTATATAGGCTAGCATGATGTATATATAGATAGTCGTCTTGTCCACTACCAGGCTCTGAAGCTGTTCATGTATCGTACTAGCAATACTATTTGATTTCATGATGCCGCATCTGATAATCATTTAAACCTATTGTCTTGTAGGCGCGACACAAAGCGACTAGAGAATGAGCCATCTACGGCAGAGAAGAGAACTTGTTATTTGAACTAGAGCGATACCTTAATGATACAGCGAAACGAGCTCGGTTATTATTCTTTCATATCCTTAATAGTAAAGCTGATGCCTATAATGCTCTGATCCTTCTTTATAGACACATCTGTATCCTGAGGAATAAGTTGGCCTTGTGGGTCATAGGCTAAGCCTTGAACTCGAACGACAGTATCCTTCGGAGCTATCCAAGTTTTTTTCGTCGGAGGTTCCTCCATGCTTCCAAGCGGCGAACAACAACTGGCGTCGAAGTTTAGATCGCTGGTTTAAGACGTTGTGATCCAGGCGAAAGTTGCGTCTTCTACACTATAGTAAGCGACCAAAGCAACAATGGTGTGAGGGATTGGTACCAGAAGGAGGGAACAAAAGCCAGTGTTCGAATGTGGTCTTATTCTAGTAATAGAGCGCGAGCCTGCGAGTGTTCGCTATACAGAAGTACAATCGGCCTGCTGAAGATATCTCGGCTCGTAGCGGAAAGCGACCGTCTTCTAAGGTCTTAAGGAGTGGCCGGACTTTGAAGTCTAAGCACAGCCTGGTAGCGGTCAACACAGTCACACAGCGCAGGGGCTTTACTTATAACTAACTCTCTATTGATGTGCAGGCGTTGTGTGGAGGACTCTTCGGTGGCGCTTTCTGTACAACCCTAGGCTGAAATCGGTATCAGGTGAGGTGGTGAGCTAGCCTGCAGCAGACGAAGAGTACATTATTCGTGGCGCAACCTACTCAGTGCATAAGTAAATGCTGTTGCGATGAAGACTAGAGATACCTAGTAGTCGGTGCTGTCAAGAGGACGAGAGGTGCTGATGGCGGGGCACTTGAACTAGATGCCTCGCCAAAGTTTTCTAGCGATGGTGGGGTCTCCTGACCCGCAACCACCAACTACCAATTACGAAACAAATTTCCACTTCGCTCTGTTGATTAAAGGGATGTTTGCGTTGGGCCGCTACGCATCTCGCGCGCGGCGGGGACCACGAAATAGGGCAAGGCTATGGGGCGCGGCAGACAAAGGCTACTACACTGGCCTATTGAAGTGCGCGCAGAATCCTGGCCTTACTATACCATACTGAACACCAGCAGTGCTAGTCATCGGCTTCTCCATATCGCGAGCGCAGGTCAGGCCATACGTAAGAGCGCACGCAGAAGGGAGGCATGCGCGGAAGCTCGTGCCCCGCACTAGGCCAGCCTCGGCAGTCCAATCAGGGTGGAGCACGTTCACTACCGCCGCTGGCAGCGCTGGCTACGTCGCGCGTCCACGATCGCTCTCCCGGGACGATCCGCAGATAGCAGTAAGCCTGTTTGAAGGCGGTCGGTTGAGGTAACGCGAAGGTTGAAGCGTTGCTGGAGACCGTATAGAGTCGGTGACCTTCGCGAAGGGCGGGACCCGCCGCTAGCAAACCACCATTAGCCGAGTGCGCTGGGCAGGCTGTGCAGAACGTGTGACTCACCAGGCAGGTAGGCAGGCAGGCAGGCAGGCAGGCAGACAAGCAGTCTCAGTGGCGAGGCATTTGAGGCAGTCAAGATAGAGGTACCAGAGGTCGCAGCCGTTCAAGGAGCGGACGGACGTATTATAAGCTCGTGGAAGCGGACTGCAGCGATCGTCTCCGCTTGTATGTACCTGCAGGTGCGCAGCACGTTGTCACCAACGGAGGCGCTGCTAGCTCGGACTCCGCAAGATGGTACCCAGCTCGATCACACGCATCGTCTCACATCCCAGCAGAGCGTAGGCGCTGCCGTCTGGACATGATAGAGCCCACCGATGCCACCCCAGTTGGTTCTAGTCCCATGTTGCAGGTGACGCTACTATTCTTACGCAACTATGCCTGCCACGGTGTACTCATGGAATCCGGTTTCCAGCTTTGTATTAAAGCGGACAGTACACTCGGACTGTCAGGGCGGCCAAGGCAGGGTGAGAGATTGCTCGGTTTCCTCTGGCTCGCGCTTCATGCTCTTGCTGCTTCCGGTTACGCTGTGCTGCGACATTCTGTCAGGACTCTCCATGCTCTGGCTCCGTGAATCGTATTCCGATTGTGACGGGCCTGCAGCGACTTCTTCCTGTCTTGTCTGGTGGTAAACCTCCGTGTAGTTGGAACCCTCGTCTTCTCGCTTGATGATCGACTGCATCCCTGGTACAGGTGCTGTCCTTGCTCCGCTGATCAAGTCTTCTTCTGACTGTGGTTGAACCAGAGGAAGAGGTTGGCCTAGCTGAGGGGGAACGCTCGACCAAGATCGAGGGTCTGGGCGCCTGCGACTGAATGAGCTATTCCTCCTTCTTCGTCCGCCGGCACTGGAGCCACTGTCGGTCCGCTGGTGACCATAGCCATGCATCGGGGGCCCTTCAGGCATTGGCAGAGGCATCTGGTGCAGCTGCGGCGGCATCGGCGGCGGGTTTGGCATCAGCTGAGGGGCATTTGCAGGCATGAAGCCATACAGGGCAGAGGCAGGTATCACAGGCACTTGCGATCGCGAACTCATGCCTGTATCGGTTGCAGAAGGGTGAAGCTGGAATACTGGCGCATTCGCACGCGCGCTCATCTCCTGCTCTCCGAGCTGCCAATGCATCGACTCGGCGGACCGCCAGGGAATGCCCATCGCTGTAGCAACCTTTTGCCACATTTGGTCCTTGAAACTAAAGCAAGGGTCAGTATTGTTTTTGAGTATACGCGTAGAGACGCGTCACATGCGAGAGCGGCAGATGGTGCTGGGGTACATTTGAAGCCAAAAATATGGGATCAAACGAAGGAAAGGATGATCAAAATGAATCAGTCTAGGCGTCTGGAGTGATCGAGTGGTACGTACCGCGCATAGAGTCTTGCAAGTCTGTTTTTCTTCTCCTCGTCCCAGATGGCTCGCTTCTCGAGGTAGTTCTGGTACCGTAATCGGCAGGAAATGGAGCTTCTTCCAGGTAATCGTTTCGCAATGTCATCCCATTTCATTCCCTGGCCTCGCAGGTCGATGGTCAGATTGTCCTCCTCTGGTGTCCATTTGGACTGTTTCTTGGCGGGGCTTCCGTCGGGTAGCGGGGTTTGAGAAGCTTGTCGTTTTACTGTTGAAGGGGGAGAGTGATCGGTACTATATGCATGATGTGGTGGTGAAGGTTCATGTGGGCCGGAGTAGAGTGGGCGAAAGTGCGGGAGTGGGGTAGGCTCAGCATGTCGATGAAGTCCTGAGATGGCGGGTAGAACAGGTCCTCCTAGCATGGGACCGGGTCCTTGGGGAGCTGATGTCGATGCCTGGGTATAAGCGGATATTGGTGCATAGTGTGGGGGAGGTGGGTATGCTTGTGTTCCAGAAGCGTAGGCAGGCAACGATATTTGCGAGGGACATGAGGAAGGTGCAGTCGTGTCTCTTCCTGTCGCTCCTATCGAGTGGGATGCATTGGATATAGAGCTTTTCTTGCTCGCAGGTGACTCTGAGCCCCGAGCCTGAGGTTCGAGGAGGAGGTTGATATCCAGGATGAAGGTGAAGGACTGGATTCAATCCAGTCCACGAGATGATGCAGGGTTCCCAATCTCGGATTGGCGCCAAGATTGGAAGTTCTCGAAGGGAGAACGGAACTGTCGCCGGTACAAAGGACGGCTTTCCGCTGAACGGCTAGGTGAGCTTTCTTGCCAAAGAATGGTGTTCAATGGCAAACGAGCTGAGTAGCCGTTGGCATCGGCTTGAAAGCTTCCTGTACTTGTTCCATCGCTTCCACATGCCAAACTGTGCCGTCGCTCGGTTGGCAGGGACTCCACTCGAATCCCTCTCGTTCGTCCAGACGCACTGCTGGTTCGTGGGCGCTTACGCGCACGAGTCACACAACGCCGACCTGCTGGGACAATGCACAATGCACGATGACTCTCGACTCTTGCAGCTACGATACAATGACGGTCCCATGCGTTCGTGTACTATCGTCACTACCGGATCCCGGTAGCCTTTGCAGAACGACAGCCGTTCAGGGTTTGCTGCTTTGGGCGATGCTGTTACAACGGACGATACATTGAACGGTGACCTGCGCCTGTTCACGGAGCAACGCTAGGGAACGACAGCCACCTGCTGACTAGTATAGCTTGCATGAACGGACGGCGCAAGGAAGCTGCACTTGCACTATAATAGAAACGCCACGTAACCAAACAGGAGGCATCCTGCAGCGATCGAAAGCGTAGGTCGTGACTAACAGCCTGGGCGGCCGATATCGAGGCGGCAGACCAAATACGCCCCGCTCTGCGTCTCATCCCTCGTCGCGCCTGACCGCTCGCTCCCTTGATTATACGCCAATTGCTATGCAAGTTTGGAGCTACTACACCTAACCCACTCCGCTGTACGCCATCTGCAAGGTCCACCCCACGACAGACCATACAGTGGGCAACCATCTCACCCAACGTACATCGATTCCAGAAGATGGAGGGTGAGAGACGGCGGGAATGACTGTCTGGCGCATCTTTCTTTTGCTGCTGTTTCGTTGTGGAGGCTGCACTGAGAGTGCATGTAGTTGGCTTGTCTCGTCACGCAAGACACGAACCACCACTCGGTGATTGTGCGTAGTGGGAGGTTTGAACGCTTTCCGAACGCTCCCACAGATGTTAGATGCGTTCTTTCCAACCTGGCTCTCTGTATAAGATCCGGAGTTGCAAGAGCCGAAGACCAGGGGTCCGGGAGAGGTGGGTGCCAAAAGCGCGCCTTCCATGTCGACTTGGGTGGCTATCACCTTCCCTAGAAGTGCCATCCGTGCATACACTGTCTTCTCTTGGTATCCCGCATCTACTTCCCCATATACCGTCATCGGGGTTATTTCCCCGGCACGTTCTCTGAGACCATGTCTGTTATATGACCTTCCTCTCGGAGCCGATCTGAGAACGGCCAAAACTGTCGTATTCATCTATAACCAGTCTTTACCGTATTTCCTTTCGCTTTCTACCTTCTGTAGTGTCTCCTCTAGCTCCTTGCCTGGCTGGTCTTCCACGATAGACTCCCAGCATCACCGTCACATACGTATACTCCACGGCCAACCGAACACAACGTCCCAAATGCCTCTCCGCACAGAACGGCCCATAGTGCGTGTCGAGCACAGCTCTATGCGTACCATCGAAACCCGCAGCACGGAGAACCTGTTTGGCCTCTGGTCTGGTGAGTGACATGCAGGAGCCGTGGCTCTGCTATACGCACGATCTATCATATGTGATAGCGTCTAAACTGCACAACAATCGCTAACTCGACCTCACAGTCTTCGCACAATGCTCGCCCGCCATTGAAGATGGCAAGCGCTACGAGAACATGGCATGGCGGTTGTGGTCCCGCGAGACCTTATGCTGCCAGCCAGACCCCCTGGCCGCTCCCCAGTGGGCCTTCCAGCGACAACTATCGACCAGCGCCGCGGACATGCCTGAGCTGTCTACCAGCGTCGCCTCCGACGACTCCAATCTGGAAAGCGCTATCACCACGACTTCCCGGACTGATCTCTCCGCCGACCGCCCCGACCTGCGCCGCCACGACTCTACTACCAGTCAGGCCCGCGGCGAGCACATGACGCCCATTGGTCTCAAGAAGGTCGTCAACTCGATACAAGAGAAGAAGTTCATCGAGCCACTGTCGCCGCTCCCAGCACAACTCGCCCCACCTGTAGTCGAGCAGAAGCCCGTCCAGGACAACATCACACTATCCTCCACCGCCCACCCCATCCCCGACGCCTCCACCTCTACAGTAGCCACCTCAGTGGACTGCGGCATCATAAGCCCTGCAGTCGGCTCAGAAGCCAGCACATCTACCGACGTGAGTGAGCACAGCGTCGTCCGCGGTTTCGAGCCTGGCCACATCTCCACCTCACTACCGTCCAGCACCAACCTGGACCCTACTCCCATCCTCAAGAAGACCTCCAGCTTCATTACCAAGTCTCTTCCCGCCAAGGCCGACGCCAGCAAGAAGAAGCAGCCCATGTTCACTCTCGGTGGATCCTCAGAAGAAGAGAACGGCAGCTCATTCGAGGCCTACTCGCTACAACGCAGCTCTCTCTCACAACAACTGCGCAACGCTGCTCCCATGCGAAAGACTACCTCATTCAAGAATGAGGTTAGCACCCGCACTTTCCACGACGTCTCCGCGAGCAGTGAGGCTGCCATTGAGAGCGACAGAGAAGAGGACGATGTCGGCGAGAGCGCCATCGAAGAGGAAGACACCGATGAGGAGTGGGAAGACGACGACAACGAGGAGAGCGGTCCCCCAAGCGTTGCTGAGCACCGTCCTCAGTTCCCGCGTGTCGACTCACAGGCCAACCTCACCTCCCGCCGCTCTCTACTCACAGCTGCCCTCCACCAAGGTGACCACGCATCGGCTCTACAAAATGCCGCATCGCGATCATCACCTGCCATTCGAAGATCACGCACCCATACTCCCAACGGCCCTTCCGCTGGCAGTTCTCCTCACGACGACAGTGGTTTGATGATGCGCGAGCAAGCCTCTCGTCCAAAGCCCATCATCATGACTACCTCCAACGTCCACCCACCCGCCATGTCCCCCAAGACCACTAGACGCAACATACTTACCAGCGAGTTGACTGGAAGCTTGAGGCAGAACCTGCTGTGGGAGAAGCAGCAAAAGAACGCCACCACCAACGCGGTAGCAAAGCGCCAACAGAGCGCAATCAACCTACCAGCACTACGCCGGGCCATGACCACCGGCGATGTCAAGGGCCTCAACACCAACGAGCAACAAGCTCAAATCAGATCCATCACTTTCCGGGACGACAACAAGCCCGACAGCTCGTACAACCAGTTCTTCGACAGCGGAGACGCCCAAGAATACCACCGCTCCGGATGGTAACGGACGGTCGTTTTTCGCATTCTTCAATGCAGCGGCGTCTATGGTCGGCATCGAACAACGGCGTTTTATTTTTCAGCGCTTTAACAGCCTTGGTCTTACTTTGCTGCAGTGATCGGTAGTAATGGGTCCTGCTGTACTGCAAAATCTTTGGTACTATGACAATATTGAGTATGTTCAACGAGAGAGAGGACGTCGCTGTATGTTACATAGTAGTCATATGGAACAAGGGTATAGGGCTTTGAAGTACTCATGGATGCTCGTCTTGAGGCCTTTCACCTCAACTATATCTTCTACCAATCGATATTACTTGGGAAACATGTAACCGTATCAATAGTACCATAGCCTTGCACTTCATCCAGACCTCATCGCCTATGATATTCGAGCAGACATCACGCGAAAGAACTCTCGTGGTGGCCAGAGCCGATGGTCTCGCACAGGTGTAACCGGAACCTCTGAAAGCTTACATCCAGAACACTTCCTCTAGGGCTAGGTAGTGACACTTGAATGGTAAGCTCATATTGTCGCACCTGCAGCAAGAGTTTCTCCCCAGAAAACAATCCGAGCAAACGGTAGCCAAGCTTGTCTTGTACCTGCGTCTCCACATTCTTACTCTACTTATTCAAACACTGATTCATTGGTGCTGGTATTGAGCAGGCCACGGATGCCATCCAACTCCACCAACTATCTTTCTCACTAGGAGTCAGAAGACTAGCCCACCGTACCATCACAGCTTGTATTGCGGCTCTATAGAGAGCCCTACTTGTAGTAGCTGTGTTGTTTTCGTAGCGCCCAACTAGAACCTATCCTGTGCAAGCGCACCATAACCGAGAGGTTGTGAGGGGCTCTCCGTTCCGAATGTCGCCTATGGCGTTTGTACGCTCGGGATCTCCCTCACCCTTCCACTCGCAATCTCTGCTTAACCTCGCACTCATGAAAGGATCCGTAGTCAAGAGCTTTCTAGCATAATAGTGAGGGTAGCCGTCAAGTGGTTCTTCACGCTGCTAATACTGCATGCAGAAACGCCCATGATATCGTCCTGCCCTTGGTCTCCGTGCCGCCATTATCCAATCATTGATGTGAAATATTTCGCATAGTGCGGTACATTTTCTATTGGATGCGCTGCATTGCAGCTTAGCAGCGCCGGTGACGCCACTCACCTGTGACGGGATGTGAGACGTCATCTCTGCACGTTCAAACCAGCCACACGATGTGCAAATCTCGCTATCCCCTCACAGGTGCAAACGGTTAATTTCTGTTTTTTTTTCGCGGTGTACGCGGCCCCCAATTGCATAGCGTAGCGTCATCGAGCACTGGTTCTAGCTACCCGCCGATCAGCCACGTGTGCTGGATGCCCAGGAAATGACCTATTGTGCGAGAGCTACTCTGAAGCCACTATGCGATGCTTCCATCTCAGTCTGGGTGAGACGGTAGCGCCATCCGAATCGCTCATGCCTGCGCTCAGCCAGTATCGACATGGGAGGCCCTCGCTACGCCTGTCGGTGCTTTCCTACTCAACACATTGCTTATTCGACATATGTCCATGGGCCTAGATGTGTCTTCCGAGTCTCACAGAAGGATGATGATGCACTGATCAGGTTACACAACAATAGTTGCAAGTGCATGTGTCAACGGTTCGCTGAAATCTCTCGTTTGCGACAGAATAATCCTCGGCATTCGCTTCGTCTACATGGGAACGTTCTCCTCTTTCCACGTCACGAGCTTGGCCCATGCACCTGCAATTATGCAATCGTTCCCGCGACTGGAGATCTTTCATGGGCAACATAGTACCAGAGCCAGCGGGTAAAGCAACCACAACCGCTCTCGAAGCGTGTCCTGGGCCAGACGACCCAAGTGACAAGGGCAGGGCGCTCGGCGATGGATGAATGGGTTGCGAGAGCCCGCGTAAACCGCTGTTTCCTGCTTCTTTGTGTGGCTTGCGGAGATCACCGTCAATCCTGCCTTCGGTTTGGGAGTTGACGTGAGGCCAGACTGAGTCAGCGACGCTGCAGTCTAATCTACCTGCATCTGCGAGATTTTGATCTGCCCTTTGTTCGGGCGAGCGTTGAATAGACGCGACTTCAAGACGCTAGTGGAGTTGCCAATCGAAGCGTGTCGCTCTTTGTCAATGCGGGCGTCCGCAGCGGACTACGAATCGGTTTCGCGCAACCGTTCGGTATACTCAATTATGAGACGCTCAAATACACGAACTGTGTATTGCAGGGCAAGCGCGAGCCAGCCTAGCATTCTGAAAATTCATGCATTTCTGTTTTCAAGTCCAGGGTGTTCTAACCTTCATCAGCATTGTCAAGTCTGAGCCAGCGTCTCGTTCAGCCCAACTGGCGAGTAGAACGCCGCGCTAGCTCGCACCAAAATGAGGGACGTAGAAGCAATCATGTACAGAACGCCACGATGTCACAGAGCACAAGTATCAACGTATATCATTTGTTATGGTATGCACAGTCTATACGGCTCAAGGCATATCGTAACGTGCTACGCCATCAGACCGCTGCAGCACAAGACATCCCTTCACCCCTCCCGTCCCAGGACTATCGACGTTACAAGTACGATACCGGTACCTGTTGCTACCATACACTCCACTTTTCTCTAAGCTGTGATCTCGGCGTGTGGGTGTTGGGATTCAGGGTTCCCTGCCCGAGGCATATCGGTCGGGATGCTGACTAGCGGCTCCGTGGGTGGATGAGTATCTCAGAGCACTTGCTAGAACGAGGGTACTATCGCCGTCGGCGGCATTCCGTAACGCATGCAGGCCTGTTACGACCTGGTCTACCAAGCGCTGTTTGTGACGACTTCTCTTCGGCACTGCCCCGGAGGAGTAGAACCTTCCACCATCTCGGCTAAGTCCACTATGACCTTCCAGCAGTGTCCCTCCACCTTCAAGCTCTGTGAACACGATTGTTGGCTGGCGACGGGAATCGTACGGCTGACGAGCGGCACCCGTCTATGCGAGCGCGAGGCGGGAGGCTCCATGCCAATGTTATCCATCTCACTCGAGACCCTGTTGCCTCTGGACGTTCTTGAGAATTTCGAGATCCATACGTAGGATGGGCGAGTTCTGCGCTACGTCGCTGATGACGGCAATGGTACGTTTGAATAACGCGGCGAGGTTGGCTTTCGTGAGCCAGGTGTCGCTGGGAAGGAGGGGGTATAGTTTGGACTTGTACACTGAGGCGAGGACGAGCATGTTGCCGAATTGTCTAGGTTCGTTGTTAGTTGACTGTGCCATTTCTATAGAAAGACATGGACTTACGCGTGAAGCGTACCGAAGATGTTGGTTAGGATAAGCCTCTTCTTGCGCGTAGGTTGAAAGTACTGGTATTGGCTGCCGGTCTCTTCGCCTACACGATCGAACGCGATGGTACTCCGGATAGCGGCGTTGATACATTGGCAACAGATCTTGATGATCTTGTGCTGGTCTTCGCTTAGGTCAACCATTTGTACGTTTCTGTTGGAAACAGCATTTCCGTAGGGCGATGACGAATTGTGGTGCGTAGCGCCAGTTGTGCCAGGAGGCGGAGGTGGGAACTCGAGCGTGTGGCTCGCAAGTTTGAGGTAGGGTCGCAACATCATGTATAGACCACCATAGTACTTGGCGCGTACACGAGCAATATTGAGATCTGTCGAGGGGTACTCGTCATCCGACCACGCCAGTTCCGGAGTAAGCAATTTTCGCCAGCCCTCGAGTATCTCCTTGTGGGCGAGCGCGTGGTGAGCAACCTCCTTAAAGCTGGTAGGGTCGAAGCTCATGCGGCCACTAGGACCGTACAACGCGTTGTGCGCAACGTTAAGGACAACTCGTAGGAAAGTCTGCGTGGAGTACAGCTTCATCATCAAATCTTTTCTGGGGCCTGCGCGGACTTCGATATCTCGCTGCACGAAATTGCTGTCCAGGTCTTGAGACCAGTTTTCGTTGACGCCTTCGGGGTACATAATCTCGCTTTGATGTGCAGAAATGCCGGAAGGTGGTAGAGTGCTCATCTCTGCTAGAATATCGGATTCCAACTGTAGAGCTGTCCAGTAGACACACATCACGAGATTGAGTCTGTAGCGCTCCCTGGAACTCCAGGTATGTCTTCTGTCGCTGTTCACACGGAGCAGCTTAGTGTAGTCGGCTTTGATGAGAACTAGGGCAATCCGGCAAGCGTTGTTAATCCAGCTCCAACTCTCCAGTACTCGTGCATACTGACTGAGAAACAGCGCAGCCAACAGCATAGCCTGCGCATGCTCAACGGTATTGCCTCCCTGTTGATTTCCGAGAATATCGGTGGCGTAAGCATAGTAGGCCATACCAGGCAGTAGATCGATGTTCCTCGTGCGTATCTCGTCGGGATTCTCGCTGCTTATGCTGCTGAAACTCCCGTTTGGGTGAGGAGAATTCCGAATGTATCCCCATTCACTGTGGACGTAAGGATGTCGATCATTTTGTGGCGCAGGCAGTGGCTCTGTATGCGAGCAGACTTTACCAAGGGCAAGAACGAGCAATACAATCGCGTTGCGCAATGACCGTACAATGTCAGTACGACCTGACGGGGGTCCATCGAGGTTGCTGGCCGAGCGCTTTCGCTTCACTCCATGAGCGGGAGCAGGGGAGTGGGCGTCCAGAGGCTTCGCGTCAGGACTGTATCGATCACTAAAGTCCTCGAACATACGCCTCAGTTTGTTCTCGTTCATGAAAGGATGGAAAATGTGCATCGTCTCCATGTAGGACCGGAGCAGGTCAAACATGACATGGCATCGAAAGTCGGGCCGACCGTCTGCACCGAGCCCGTTCTCCTGCCGCTGCAGCAGCTGCTGGTGCGGGAAATATTCTCGAGGTATGCTGCCCGGTGTTCGTGTTCCATTCTCGGCTCCGGAAAATGGGTAACCCCAAAGTCCTTCTTTGCCAGGCGCTGGTGAAGGGGCTTCCGAATCGTTGCTGCTTTCCGGGCTTCCAAGTCCTTGCGCTACGTAGGTTAGGTCTTGGCCCTCGCCAACACCCCAGACACGCAACAGTCCGCGATCCTGCTCAAGCTGCATTGGGTAGTCTGAGACTTCACGGCCGTTGTCTATCAGCCTTCTCAGATACGGAATGCCTTGATAAAACATGCTCATTTGTTGCCACTCGTCCAGCAACTTGTGCGCTGGTGTAGTGTGATCACCTTGCAGGCCGGTTTGTTCCTTGTGACTAGTTTCAGTAGCATGGCTGCGATCGGTCCTTACACTCTTGGCAGGTGTTGCCGATTGTTGAGGAGGCGGAGCGAATTGCGACTCTTGCTTGATAGAAGCTGATGCTTGCGCACCTAGTGGCGACATCATGTTCGAGTGGGGAGCGATGGGCGATTCCATTTTCGGGTTGTGGTTGACACGACCCATGTGTCCTCTTCCCTGTATAGGAGTAGGCCATCCGTATGTGCCATGCTCTCTTGGGGGTGCGGAAAAAGAGGCTTCAGGCGAAGCGTGATTCGACATCTCGTGATTCCGCGATTGTGGAAGCCTACTCTCAACACTTGATTTCCAGCCGTTGAACTGGTCCACCAACTGCGACAAAACTTCGGAGATGCTGTTGACACTTTCTTGAAGTTGCATCTTGCTTCTGTCTTGTCTAGGAAGGGTCAGCGATGAACCAAAGAGAGGGAAGAGGCAACGCACTTGGGTGGCGGGACGTCCTTGTACTGGCATTCGAAGTTGTTCTCTCTGCAGCATTGGCACGGTAGGGTTTCGTCACATTTCTGCTTTCGCGAACGGCATCTGATACAGGCCTGAGTGGCGCGCACCTGCCTTCGTTTTGTCCGCTGTGCGGTGCCATAGTCATTCATGTACAGGGTCTGCAAGTAGAAGGTGACAGGAGGGGCGTGTCGCTGGGCGGGCGGTGGCGGCTGAGAATAATACAGCGGTCCGTTGGGATGTGCTTCAGTACTGATGGCGTGGTTGTATCCATTTAGTATGCTGCCATTGGGGCGATGCTCGTGGTTGATTGTCTGGTGGTGATGGTGGCCGCCATGCTCTGTAGCAGTCGGTTGTTCAGGCTTGATAGTCGTATTCATACTGACGCGGGTAGACCAAGACCAGTCGTATACCGTGAACGTGTCGTGCAGCAATCTGGGGTAGGGAACCGGCAACTTTCATAGCTTGATGCGCCAAACGTGGACGCCGGGGGCGTGAACTAGCCATGATCTCTCCGTGCGGGAGGGTGCGGTGCGACGCGGGGATGCCGTTGCTTGGGTACGCCTAAGTTTTCGATCCTAAGAATGGGTATAGTGCAGTTTGGCGCACACGTTCGATGGATGAGTATCGGGGGGTATGGGCAACCTCAGTGACTTCTGCAGCCTGCTAGCATATGGACGGACACGCGTGATTGGGTCGAGCTGTTATCTTGTGGGGATCAGCGACGGCAAGTGCATTGGGTACGTAATGCCTCGAAGCGAACCAGCCACGGGCTCCAGCGGGTATTGTGTGACAGCCCACACCGAGGCTTTCTTTTGACACACCCCATCTCCTGCCGTCGTAATTACTTCTCTTTCCTCTTATGCGGTCAACGACGGCTGGTGATGGAGCAGTGGTATTGAGGGAGTAGCGCTTCAGCATGTAGCGGACCAGCCATCTGCCATTGTGACAAAAATCATGAACCAGAACCTTCGGCACGACAGTGGGCAAGGGTACTATAAAGCCGCTGCTGGGTGTGGCATGATCTCGGCGGTACTCAACAAAGTAAACCTGCCCTTTGACGTGGGTGCAGTGTGATAAAGACGGCAATGGAGAGTCACGTTGTGTTCGTGGTAAAGACGATTGTACTTGAAAGAATGTCTGTATGGCCTAGGTGCACACTGCCCAAACTTTCAGGTGCAGCCGCATATTCTCGCACATTCGAGAGCAAGTTCTACTGCTGTGCAGCGGCAACTAGCCATCATACGTCTCGCACTGGGTCGTAAGGCAGAGTTTCCTCGGGCGGTGGGGTGGGGGCGCTTGACGACGCACTCTTTCTCGCTGGTTGGCCAGATGTCTTATCTGCTAAACTGTCAATGCCTGTTGTTCAGCGGGGCGAATGGCTGTACGTGCCCTCATGCTTCAGGCGACGCAACGCTCTGCTGATGCGCCACGCGACAACCTCTAAGTTGACTGTAGGGATATCCTTTTCCACAAGCTTCGAGTTGATATTCTCGAGAGCCTTTTCCCTCTGGCCCTTATCAACATCCTTCCATGTTTTATTGGGATCATCTTTCCGAAGGTTCTTCGCTTCCTCGGTCGTGAGACGCTGCCATGATTAGGAATCACCAAGAGCGAGGGAGTAGAAAGACAGCCTCACGACAAATATGTCCCAGTGCGTCGGACTCAGTTTAGCAGCACAACGAGCCTGTTCGGCTTTTTCCTCATTTGAAAGCGGCATTTTGCTGGCCAGGATGACCGTCCTTTGATATCCAAGGATCGTTCAGACCCCGCATGTCTCTGACGTTGCACGCCTCTTGGTCATAGCGTATCGTGAGCCTATCAGCTCTGCGCATGGCTGGTCTTGTCGCTGCACCCCCCTGCTGCTCTGTGGCCTAAGCTCTGCGACTTCCCTGCCGTTCTGTGGTTCAAGCTCTGCAACCCCTGAGTCTTATCCATATCTTGCTTTCATGCCGTTCTGTATTTCAATATCGTGTATGAAACTCCTATTGTGCGCTATGCGACGTTGCTGGGACCCATTATCTTACACAAACGCAGCGCAGCACTGTAGTCGACACGACAGTTTGTGATACATCGCACCGTCGTGTAACGAAACCGCCAATAGCAATACATCGTGCGCCACTACAATTCTCTAGTGCGATGTCAGGGAGCAGCCGGCTCGTATTCGCCGCCGTGCTGCACTCGGGTCATTGCACTACTACAAGGGTTAAGCTGCCTAGCCCCATCGCTTCGGCTGTGACGCCAAGCCGTACCTTCGAGCCTATGCATCCGGCCGCCGTCGGCTACAGAACAGCCCCAAACAAGTTAGGCGCGATACGCTGAGCACGGCTGAGCTCGTCTCGCATTCAGCCGCTTGCTGATGTTGACCCTTGTGGTTTGCGCTTGGACGGTTCCCGTGCAGCGAGAGCGTGCTAGTCTGTTCGGGAACGGATATGCTGTGCGTGACCGTGAACTAAATGTTGCTCAACCGCGCTATGTCAATTTGCAGTAGGATTGAGGTTACGCAGAAATTAGCCGGTCGGCGCGATCACAATCGATGACGTCAACAAGAGCAGAGCTTATGGTAGGACCAGAGAGTAGCTTCATGAGAGGTTTATGATTTGCCGTCCGCGTGTACACCAAGACCCCACGGCCATTATGGGTTGCAGCGGGTCTCTCTGACTCCCTAACTCTCTAGTCACCGCTAGCATTCTTCTGACTTGCACGGTTAGCATCTTGTAGGTGAAATTTTAGCCTGATGTTATCTGAATATATTCCGAATGCAGATGTTCGGGGACCTTGCCGAGTGCCTGTGTCGCACTTTGACTCAAAGCCCCTTGTAATCTTGCGGACGAGGTTCTGACGGGGTAGCGTTGAGAGATGGGATCACAGTATCGCTCGGTCGGCTCAGAACAACCGAGTCTATGCATCGCCTCCACAAGGAGGTGGTATCTGCTGATTGACGTACAGGTATAGAGCAGTATGCCAAGTCTCAAGTCTGGCTTGAAGAGATAAATAAGAGCATCTGTTAGCCACAAGACACCGACTTTGTCTCTTACACCCAAAGACTTGTCGTTACCATATGAGACATCAGTTTGTGGACTCTTTCATTTCCTTCCCAAAACCGCCAATATGGCACAACCCTTTTCAATTATACCAGTGACCCATCGAGCTCCAGGGAAAAGATACTTGCTACCGACTAGCTCGTACCCGTCGTGGTCTGCCTTTCCGCAGGAGAACGTAAATAAATCACCGCAGTACCCTCCAATGCCGCCCTCACTGCAGATGAACAATCAGTCGAGACAAACTACAATCAGAGCCGAAAAACTGTATTCACCACCACTTCTGAATAGCTCCCTCGCGCCTCCACCCGACATACGACTGAAATCACACAACCATCTTCCCTGCGATGGATCAAAGACAACCACAGATAATAGTGGCCAGACATGTTCTTACACCTCCTCAGACTTCATACAGCGGCAGCGGCAGACTCAGCCTGCCAGTGCTCCGGAGGAATCCCGGAGCAGAGGACCTTGGTTCCGTGAGGATCATACATGGAATCCCAGACCAATTCCAAACGGGAAACAGTTCGTACTTCCAGACACATGCCACACCACTCCGCACGTCAATTCACAACAACCAGCATCACGTCCTCGCTCGAAAGTCAGCCACCATGTTCTCAGTCCACCAGATACTCTCAATCCGTATCGACCATGCAGAACATACGGATCGAGCTCACCATATCCACCACCACAAGCCTCTCACAAGCCTCTACCAACCCGTACCACTTCCGAGAGGGTTCGCTGTGGTCTAGATGGCAGGCGAATCATGTATCCCACAGAGGACAGAAAGTTCCACGGGAGACCAGGTCTGAACTGTTGGTTTTGGAATTACTCGAACGGCTCTTGCCGCTTCGGGAGAGACAAATGTAAACGCCCCCATAGGTGCGATTTATGCGGTAGCCCTTCTCACGGTCGTTTTTACTCTCGCAATGGTAGCGGTAGGGGATGTGAGAGTGCTCAGCATAGATATAACGATCCAAATTCGCGTCACTACCCCACTCCATGTCGCTGAAAGAAGCGTTGTATGCTCAGGTTTGATGACGAAGGGCTAAGACAAGAAAGAGAAGAGTAGTCCTGGCTGCCGATTGCAAGACAGGATTTGTACAAGAGAATGTAGGTGGGGGGATTCGTCAGGGAGTCGACCGTTACGTCGAAGCTGCGAAGGGTAGGCCTTATCGCGGCACGCATCTTGGAACCACGGAAAAATAGTAATATGTATGTTCAGTCTGGAGACTAGTGGGCTACAACGAGGCTCCACGGAGCTGGTGGCAATTCTTGCTAATGTAGTATAATATAATAACAAATTAGAGTACATTTCTAGTAGCGAATGAATGCACGTATACCCAATTATTTACAATGGCGTCTTGCACAAATACGGACAGTGTAGATGTCGCTTCAAGGACTTCATGGAGTCATTGTTCTCTATCTTCTGCATGCATTCACTCGTCCTTAACAATGATAGATAACGGTGTATGCCCAAGGAAGACAATTTGCTTTTGTGCTATCGCCATCTACAGATCAGCCCGACTCAACCCTTCAACGCTCATATTCGCGTACCCTCTGGTTCATCAGAAGCACTCATAGTCTGACTCACACTACATGCATCCAACTACACCTCTTGTGAAGCGTGTTCACTCACAATCCGTGCTTTGTACTATGTCATAGAGGCTAGCATTATATACTCTACGCCTATGGTTATCGACATCAGGACGGCACGGAGACACATGTCAAAGCACAAATAAACGCAGCAATTCTTCAGCCATCCATCCATTCACTCATCGTCTTGGGTCCCCCTAAAAGTGTCTTACAGCAGAGTATCTAGAACATGTTGTCAGAATTCCCGCTTCGCTTTCAAAACGTTATTCACGGACAAGAGCGGACGGATCGAACGGTGTGCTACATTCACTACATAGTCGAGAAACACACGATAAGCGGCTTCAAACACTTAGATGTCTTCCTCCCATTTTCACATTTATGGCTGCCAGTCTCAGCTGAAATCGCTACGGAAGTGATCGTGATTGCATGGACTGATATACCCGCGTGCAGAAGACACAAGTATAGGGAGTTTGCACGCAAGAAGCCAGAGCAAGACGAGGAGCATGAATGAATGCGCTGTGTGGTGTCACTAAGAGACTAAGGGGGATCATAATGGCCAGGACTGTTAGCACGGCTACTGTTATCAACGAAGGGCATAGTGCAAGGTGTGAGAGATGTACTCAGTACTTCCAAATGACAAAGCAAAAAGGGCAAACGAGAAAGGTATATCAGACACTGGCCAACTCCAGGAGAAGATGGGCGAGGGACTTCACAACGTCTGAAATGAAGCTAACATAGCATAGCAGTGTCGCCAGACACCAGGACACATCAAGTGCGAGCCAGACGAGCACTGCGCCCGGTCTGCAGTACTCTCAGCATGCAAATCGAAGGACGATGGATGACAGCGCCCGCACTCGGCAGCCTCGTGTCCCAGTCTCGACCGACAGCAGGCTGGGAAGTGAGAGCGCGGACAAGGCTGGACTGCTGGCTAAGCCGGTCTTCCCTGTGGAAGAGAGACCTGTGTCAGCACCAGAAGCACCCTCGCACAACCAGAGCCAGATGAAGGCTTTGCTCCTGATTAACGGCCTGGTAGCAGAAAGGGAGGAAGAGGCAGAGGGCAAGGTTTTGGCCCGGCGAATCTCAGCGCTCTTTCGCAGAAAAGTCCGACCAACAAGTCAGCGCTATGTAGGAGAGCCTCTGCCGACGTCCAGCACAACCTGCTCGACTGAAAGGATTCGGAGCATGGACCACGAAAAGCGGTAAGCGTGCAACCAGCTCATCCAATAGGAACACCACCCGCGGCACCCGTTGCCCATGCCCTCTCCATTCAATTGAGTACCTGGACGTTGTCATTCCTTGTAACGAGACAATCTCTGCCAGTGTGTTGTACCCTGTACGTCTGTGAGGTCCTGCCAATGTCTAGAAAATGAGTTGCTGCGTCCTGTGCTGTGCTAGCAGATCTTGCCGCGTCCTGGACCGAAAGCCTCACGGTACACAACCAATCGGGGGGCCGCGTTGGCAGTTTCGAGTCTGATGTGTCACGCTCGATGCCTGGACCATGCTTGCCTAACCAATGGCCGATGCCTGGGGCAGGTCCTCTGGTTTATGTGCGTTTGCGACTACGTGCAGGTCGCTACTGGGTGGCAGATCGTTGTGCAGGAGAGTGAAGGGCAAGATCTGGTTTTGCCTTCTGCCTTTCCGCTTCATTTTTGCGAAGGTGGGCCGATGCAGGATACACACCAATTCAGAATAGAAGCCACTTGCCAGAACGTCAATATTTCTACGCTGTTCATCTGAGATCGAAGCATAGGTGACAAGCTTCACCCACTTACTCCGGAAAGATACAACTTCACTCGCCATTGCACGCGCTCTACAGCAGAGTGCAAGCTACAGTCGACACGCTTCCGGCACTACATTCCTTGCACGAAACCGCGCTCAGTGCTGATCAATAAGCTGCCTTCTATCTTGTACCCAAGATATTCGACAAGGGCAGAAGTGATCAGCTCTTCTGCAGCCAGACTTCCTCGTTCCACCCACCCGCTGTCACGACACATAACTCTAGAATCATTTCTGAGACCGTCAATCTATCCAGAGCTCCGAGCCTCGTGAGTTGAAAGCTCTCATTGGTACACAGCCAGAGTTACACAACGTCCTCAATTTAGGAATACTATGAATATCTGCAAGCAACAGCCAACTCCTTCACCTGTATGCTGAGAATTCTTCTCTATTTGCCAAAGATATAAGCTGACAGTAGAAGCCGCCGCCCCCGCCACCCTCGGGCATGCCGCCCCTCCTTAACGGACCCGCCATGGCTTCTCCCGCTTCTGTCGGTCCTTTGGCCTATCCAGTTCCTCCCGCTCCGCTACCACCGCCAGTAAGTTATACGTCTTCTCGGAACATCCGATGCTGACCCTTCTAAGCCACCACCCCCACCACCCCCAACACCCGAGCCGTCCCCCGGCCGCTTGGTGACGTCTTTCAGCCCTCCAGAAGTCGAAACGCCAAACCAGTTCATCAAAGTACAGTATTCCAACGATTCTACCTCCGACTTTGCAAGCCGCGTAATCCGTATCGGGCCCTTTCGACGCAATCTCTTGATGACGAGGCATCCGGCCCACGTGGCAGATTACAAGGAGTTTGAGTGGCTTCTGAAACATGGAAGTTCTGAGATCTGGTACGAGAAGCCTACCAAAGCGAATCTTAGGAGTATCAGAACGCTTGAGGCGCCGGACGAATTACTTCCCCTACTTAACGCACGGCCAGTGAGCCTAGAAACGCCCAAGGTATGGGCATCGATGGCTATGACGACAGCAACAAACGATGGCATCTTTGAATGTACTGCTGGGCATGTCATTGATGATGGCTATGCTGGGACATGTCATGAATGCACTGACGCAACGTCTGAAGCCCTTGAGAACACTCCGCTCGTCTACTGCCTAGTCTTCAGCACTTATCAAGCGAGCGACCCGTTCATTCACGGTGCCCACTTCAACGGCCGCCCGATCTACAAGCTTGTCAAATGCGGTAGTCGCGAGGCTGCCGTTGCGGAAGCGTTCTATGCGGCTGGTGTCAATGACTGGAGCCTAGCTTTCAGTTGTGTTACGAAGCTAGGTGAAGACTTTGAAGAGAGACCTGGCACAGCCAAGAAAGTTAATGAGCTATGGATGTTGGCCGAAGAAGAGGATGACGTGAAGACTATCAAAGTCTTCTACTAAAACACAAAAAAAAAAGCGGCGTTTCCCGGGTTCTATTTGCTTCAAATCTCTACTTCCTTTACCAAAACGAGTTCCTGCTCTTCTTGTCCCTCGATACTTCGACCGTAACGTATCTACGCGAGTCTCGTCGCAGCCAGCCAACTCTCAACGTGGACACGACCGTCCCAGCGAAAACAAACTCGCCAGACCCGTCTAACCTCTAGTCCACGCCACGACGTATGCCATGAAAGTACACGTACAACGCGCTGATATATGCTTCCTAATGCACATACTGCGTGCTACAGTATTTGCCTCAAGCCATTCGTCTTGCATCCGGTACACCCTTGTCGCCTGGCATGAACATCTTCGAGTCGAATAAGAACCAGACGATTCCCTTTTGACTCTATCCATGGCAAAGTGCAGGCTGCGGTCATCTCCAATCAGCGGTGTTCGCGAGAACAGGCGCGTCGCACGGGGCTACCCCTCTCATACCTTGTTTCTTCATGTATGGCTGCTGTTGATTCTGCATTTCCATCACGTTGGTTCGTCTCTCATATCAGTCTTGTTATTGATGATTATGGTGCTTTTGGTGTTTTTGGCGTTGATTTCGGGATACGTATAACGCGGTGCAAGGATGATGATTAGCGTTGGTTATACGCTATGGGGTTATTACATAGGTATCGGCGTCACGGTAGACACATCCTATGGGATTGGTGTTACAGAAAGGGTGCGTTGAATATTGGTGGAGTACATGGCGCATGGGTATAACAATGTTTCCGTGTCGTTCCATGATTGCTGAGGCGGATACGTCTTGGTTTGGTATGCTATTCGAATGCAAGGCATTGCTTAATCGCTGTTTACATCCAAGTTTATGCACACTAAAGATACGTGAAATGGTGTGTTGATTGGATAGGGCCAAGTTAAAGGAGGGTGTTGTATAGTTTAGTAATCTATCGCTCTACCTATTCTATGTGAACTCAAATTCTTGGTGGTACTCGGTGATACATGGCCTCTGAGACTAGTCCGTACAGCTCTCATTATGGCAGCATCCTTGGGTGTACTTGTAGAGGATCACAGCGCTATGATGTCTACTTTCTCACAGGCTCCGGTTCTTGGAAGACATCTCTTGATCACGCTGAAGTGCACGGTTTCGGGCTCTATATAAGCGGGGGTATCAACCGTGGTGAGTGCATTGGCGAGTACACTGGCGAAACTATCTCGGTCGAGAAAGTGATCGCCGCGTGACGATATACGACTATCAGAAGACGGTGTACCTGTTTCGATCAAATTCGGGTGAGTCTCTACATCATACCAATATTGATCCGATTACTCATTCAAGGTTCAGAGCGAGACGTCGATGCTACCCAGCAACGCCACTTGCGAGCCTAGACGGCCGACAAGTTATGCTCGCGGTAACAAAGGAAACCTATTAGTCTCCAGTGTTGAAAAAGATAATCATGAGGGCTTGACGGTCTAGAAGAAATCTATATCTCTAATTGATAGCCTCTATTTCCCATGCAGCGGGCGTGCAAGGCGACTAATTTTCGCGAAGCGAACCTTATACCCCTCTTTTCATTCTCTTTATCCTTTCATCGATTGATAATAGAGAGGGTTTGTGTTATAAGAGAAGAGATGTTTGTTTTTCTATCTTTACGTAGCTAACGCTCTCTTCTTCTTCTCTTACTTTATCTACACGTGTTTTATTTCTGAATCTCTTATAAAATCGAAATAGAGTTAAAAGAAGCTTGATGGCTTTTAATAAGGAGACTTGATAAAGAATTAGCAACAGTGTGGTCAACAAACCGACGGTTTGACCGACCGATTCAATCGGTTTGATTAGTAATCAAACCGACCGACGGCTGGTTCGTTATCAAACCGACCGACCGATAAGAGCGGTCGGTTTGACTGCGTTTGGGTCGGTTTGACATAGCGGATTTGCTATGGCTATTACCGGTACGAGGGGCTTCTCGGGCCATTTCCTAGTATAGGTAAACAAACGAACTTTCTAGAAACACCCTCCAAATTTAATTTGCTCGTCCATGCTGTAGTTGTATATCGCATCGTCCATCTCCGTATGCCCCATTTCTATAAACTTCTTTATTTAGCCAAATATTGTCGCTTCGATATGACCTCTAGCAGAGACACTAGCCCTGCCATATCTTCTCTTCCATCTGGCTCACAGGTTGCTCGCGTCGATGACGCTTCCGAGACGTCCCTGACACCCTCTGAGTCTGTATCGATCGACAAGGAAGTTCGATGCGAGTTTGATATTGACTGGACGAATATCTGGCACGGCTCGATGCGGCTTGAAGGCGCAAAGTTAAGGCCTCGCCACAGGCGAGTGGTTAACACCAAGGCCAAAGAATCATGGATATTCCGACATGGCGCTAGCCTGGAACACGAAGGAGCGCGGTATTGGCTCTGTAAGCTTTGCCACCTGAAGAAGAGTTACTCAACGGCTCTATATTCGGCAGCTGGCACTTCTCACGCAGCGAAGCACTTGATCCGTGAGCACCGCATCTCTCCATCCGGTGAGCTTCCAAATCTGCCTGCCAATCCCTTTTACTTGCGGCGTCGTCAGTAACATGCAGGGCGCCTCTATCGCGTCAGTCTAGTGCTGGATTAGGGCTTCCTTCGCGTTTCAATGAATCCATGTGGAAAGCCCGGTTCGTCGACTGGATTATTCTGGAAGACGTCACTCTTCGTCAGGCATCTAGCAAGCGTCTTCAGTGGCTAATACGGAACGGCGGCGAGCTCGCTAGTCAGTTACTGCCCGAGTCTCACGCGTCTGTATCAACTTGGATTCATGATGCGTTCCAGAGGCGCGGGAATATCGTCTTCGACCTGATCAAAAACGCGAAAAGTTTGGTGCACTTAAGCTTTGATTTATGGACTGCTTCCAATGGGTTTAACTATGTTGGCATTGTGAGCCACTTCGTCGACGGCAAGGGCTTGAAACGTGACGTCCTTATCGGTCTGCCACGCGTGATCGGTCCGCATTCTGGCGAGAATATCGCGACCTATATTAAAAAGGTTATTGATTGCTACGAGCTGAGTTCGAAGTTAGGCTACTTCGTCCTTGACAACGCCAGCACCAACGATACATGCCTAGAGGCTCTTGCGCTATGGTTTCCTATAGACGTCAACAAACGACGCTTGCGTTGTATCGGCCATATCATCAATCTCATTGTACGAGCAGTTATCTTCGGTGAAAACGTGAGCAAATTCGAGGACGAACTTCGAGGTGCCAGCGACGAAACCTGCTTCGAAATCTGGGCCCGAAAAGGGGCTATCGGCAGACTCCACAATCTTGCCACCTATATCCGTCGGTCAGATCAACGGCGACAGGTCCTTCGAGACCTTCAAGACGAGCTTGCGAGCGACGATGTGATATTCACTATTGACCTTGTTATTGACGGCAAAACGCGCTGGAACTCAGTTTACCTTATGGTAAAACGTGGTGAGTTAATACCTTAGGCTTGCAGTCCTTCTAACTCCGAAGCTGACAGTTTGTTAGCACTCGAGCTTCGCGACGCTTTAGAACTCTATCAAATTCGCTGGCAAAAGCCAAAAAACGACCCAAGGCACCGAGACCTGACGAAAGACTTCCTCGATGCTGAAGGGTGGGCCGAGTTGCAACGCTTCCGCGACTTTCTGGAACCGTTTTATATCCTCACAAAGACTATGGAAGGAAATGCAAACAGAGATGGCAAAGGAGGTGGCCATGGCGCTGTTTGGGAGACTCTCAAGACGATGGACTATATGTTCATCGCATTTAACAATGCTGCAGCTTCATGCCGCGACGAACCGGAGTCTCACTTCAAACGCGGAATTGAGTGTGGCTGGGTGAAGCTTGAGGAATATTATAAGCTGACAGACATGACGCCGGTGTATCGCGCCGCCCTGGCTCTCCACCCCACCTACGGTTACGATTATTTTGAGGAACACTGGAACGGGACGATGAGAAAGCCTTCTTGGTTCAAGGGCATGAAGACGGTTGTATCAAGCCTGTATGACGAATATCGGCGCCAGGCCGAGGTGGAAGCTCAAGCTCAGGCTGGCTTAGCGCGTGACGAAGACAGCGAGGATGGACATTCTGTAATTAACGATTACAGCTCTTTCGGAAAGAGGAAAGGCAGTTCACTAATTCGCCAGCGAAAAAGGTCTAAAGTCGCCAGCGAACTCACCGCTTTTCAGGAGAGGGAACTTTATCCAGAAGACAACGATTGTCCTGACCCTTTAACGTGGTGGCATAATCATAGACACGAATACCCGGTCCTCTATAAGATGGCGTTGGACCTGTTTTCAATACCTGGCATGAGCTCTGAGTGTGAGAGGGTTTTTAGTCAGACGAAGAAGTTTGTTACAGACGAGCGTAACAGGCTATCGCCCGAGACCATTGAAGCGGCCCAGCTTCAGAAACACTGGCTCAGGAACGGCTTGGTATCGTAGTAGACTTGATGTACGGATGCTAACGTAATACAAACTTGGGACGCTCTAAATAGATAGTTACCTTTTTAGGCAGCCCGCTAACTTCTTTGAGTTAAGCTGTCAAACCTGATCAAACTCAAACCGACGGGCGACGTTCTATCAAACCGACTCAAACCGACCGACGAAGCCTACCTATTGAATCAAACCGACCGACCAAAGCCTCCGGTTTGAGTCGGTCGGTTTATTGACCACACTGATTAGCAAACTTGGCATTGTTAGCGATGTTGACAAAGTTGGCATGGTTAATACAGTAAAGTAGCTGATTAAAAAACCAATAACAACTATCAATATTCTATTCCATAATTAACTCCTGGGTGATTTTCTTTTACTACTAAGCACTTGCTACTTAGTCAATCACCCGGCATCTAGAGTAAGGGGGAGGCCGGCGGTGCAGCGCATGAGTATGCCGGTAGAGTTTCGAGCACTTCATAGTCGCAGGTTGCCGTTAGAGACATGTAGGTTGCAAAGGTTGTGGGAAAGACTACAGTCACTACGGTGGACGCTTGAACAAGCTACCGGAAACCAATGCCTCTTCCGTCATTGACAGATTCGGGCGCAATCCACGGATTGAGGGCAGGACAGTCCATTGATACATCTGGGCTTGTGGGAGCTCCTGACCAGCCTATCTATGTTTTCTGCTTCAGAATAATAAACTAAATGCGCTGCTTCGGTTGGCTGTTTCGCACGGAACAAGACTCTCTGTTCGACCTGATATAACGTTTGGTGATGTACTAATCGGGTGATTCCTAGCCGGAAGACAACCCGTTTTTCACCCCTGTCACCCCTGGTTCATGTTGTGGAACATGGTTACGAGCACACTTTTCCACCCTGGCAGTTCTCAAGACGCGCTAGCCTGCCACAGGCCATTCACAAAGCGGCGCAACGAGACGCGAAGACACGGCAGCGATCCTGTCTTGGCAGGAGTTCATGCCGCCCTCCAATCTGCTCTGATCTGGGGACGGTTGAAGTCACGCAGCAGTAGCACAACGCACCAATATTACCTTTGCAACAACTCGGCGGCGGTGATACGACCGATGCTTGGATCGCTCAGCGCTGTCGTGTTTGTAGACACAGCAGCCGCACGTGTCTGGCACCAGGCGAAAAACTTGCAAGAAGATGGACTCAAGGCAACTAGAGCTACTAGAATTCTTAAACCAGGCTTCCACCAACGTCCGTCCGCAAGTGGCGTGTCTTCGCTCCGAAGCAGGGTTCACATTGGCGCTGACCGACAAGCTCCTAAAAGAGCTAGTTCGGCATGTCGGGATGTGGTACCCGTCATTACCTGCATGTACAGACTAGTGCCTGCTTCTGCGTTTTGGATATTTATATGAAAAGTGGACTATTGCATACGGGCTGCGTTATCAAAAGGAGACAGGGTTGTCTTGCTGACTCGCAACGAAGAGCGCTTGTATAGGCAGTCTGCGCTTAGATTTCTCTAACAAATAGGTGAAGGAGGCGCTACTCTACATGCTTCGAGCACAACGATACGGCAGAAAATGAATAAATTCTTTAATAGAAACGTATTCAATCATAAGTTTAACAAGAACCGAGGAGCATGCAGTGGGTACGTACCACCAGCAAACCTCATTTGTCGTATTACTCACTCGAATCATGGGTGTAAGAAAATCAAGAGAAGATGTGTCCGAGAAGACAAGGACAGATGCAAGAGATGCATTGAAAAGGGTCTCGAGTGCACGAATCCCCCGATTGTATCAAGGAAGCGCAGAAAAGGCAAGTCGCTGAACACGAAGCAAGTTTCATGTGGAACAAAACCCAGCTACGTGCATAGGTCTTGCTATCAACCACCAGCTGCTAACATCCTAGTCTAGATTCGCGACAAGAACCCGGTCAAGCACTTCAGGAACGTCAACCTCGGGTGGGCGATAACCCAAATAGCGATGCCAAAATGCAAGAAAAATTGTCCAATCATACCGAGCCGGCCTCTGGCCGTAGTGGGCAGATCTACTGCAACGACGACACCACAATGCCCAATCCTGATACTCTATTACAGTCGTCCGCTACCTTGCTTTTCTTGACCGGTTTAGAGAATGGCACAATTATGCCAACCCGAACAAAAGTCGAAGCATCGCATTGCTATCCATGTACATCCACTACCGGACCTTTCAACGGTCCTACAACAAGTGCGTCCCTCGGAATTGTTGAGCCTCGACTACATTCTATCCATCTAGGTTCCACGTTTTCGGAATACGCTCGCGATAAGCTCCTCGGGTACATTAACTACCTCTTAAGAGACGTCAACGACGTAAAAGCAAGCCACAAAAAAGATATCATCATCGGGTGCGACATGCCTGAAGGCCAGCAGGTCTTGAGTCTGCATATGATGCAAACTTACGTCAGCTCGTACTGGGACCACGTCCACCCACAACTGCCCATCCTCCACAAGCCAACTTTCAATGCGAGCACCTGCCCCAAGCTCCTGTTGGTCGTCATCATGTGTCTTGGAGCGTGCTGTTTGGGAACGGATTCTAGTCAGGAGCTGGCTAACTTGTTGGCTTGGGAAATGCGCTATGAACTTCTTAAGGAGGCTGACACTAGTCTGGATGGCCAGCTCTGCGCTCTCCAAGGGCTATTTCTTCTCGAGATCTTTGAGAAGAGATACTCGACGCGTCGGCTATACGATCGTGCACGCGACTACAGCGGCAAGATACTAGATCGGATGAGGCGCTTAGGTTTCTTTGAAGAACATTTGGTCCCAGAGAGTGTTACTAGTAACGAGTCCTGGAGAACCTGGGTCAAGGCTGAGGCTACTAGGAGATTGGTGTTCGCGGCTGTTTTGATGGACCGTATCGACACTGTACAACTTGGCTCTAGCGCCAACGTTAGAAGCCTGGAGATCAAACTTTGCCTTCCTTGTGCGGAGGACTTATGGGCCGCCCCGTATGATTCCTGGGTAAACCGAACTCAGCCTTTAAATAACACTAAGCCAGCATTGTTTGTTGAAGGTCTCCGAAAGATGATGCGTCGGGAGCCAATACAGATCAGCTCGTTTGGACGAATAGTACTCATGGCAGACTTACTTGCTGTTCCATTCGGAGCAGAACAAGAAAGCCTGCTCCTCACACCGTTTCCTAACACAGCAGCAAGGATGCGCAACGAATGGCGAGAACAACTGTTCCTTGCCTTTGATTTCTGGAAGCGCGACTTCGACAGTGCACTGAACCGACCGGAGAACCGCCCTGCTTCGAATCCATACGGGTCCTCGGATAGTACTGACGATGACAACGTCTTCGAATCCCGGACTGTCCTCTACCACCTGGCATATATGGCCATGCACGTTGATATCGCCGATTGCCAGATTTATGCTGGTGCCACGAGACTACCTGGGAGATCGATAACTCTGCGAGATTACAACGACGCACAACGCCGGATGAAGGAGGTATGGGCTCCCGCTGCCCGAGCCCGACACGCCACATTTCATGCCCTCCGCTTTCTTCGCGGTGTTATGGTCGCAGGGGATGACAGTCCGAACGCAAATGCCCCATCCAGCGCCGTTCTCTCCTACTCCGCGCGCGACGATTACCTTCTCAATCGACCATGGGTGCTGTACTTTGCCACGCTGATTGTCTGGTCGTACGGCTTTGCGCTGGATGGACCGGTCAAGGAGCGGTATTCACTCCCAAGCTATGAAGATAAGGTCAAGGATATGGTACTGTATCTCAATCGCATGGGCGGTGTAAGAACACCTGAAGACTTAAGCGAGACTCCGAATCGCAATGCTTGCTTGGGGCTGCTGATCATCATGAGAGACATGTTCAAGCAAACCAGACGGGAGTTGCTGCAGGAGGCAGGCGATCTGCTGACGGAGTGCATCAAGAAGTTAGACGTGCATCGAACCGAGGAGTAAGCACAGTGTTAGACGACAAAGTGAAACAAAATACCGCATGTCTATGAGTGGGGTAAACATAAGCTGTCCTCTTGTAAAACACGTTGCTGCCAACTACGACAGTGCTTAGGAAGTTTTATCTATAACAAGCGAGCCTGGGAATACATGCTAGCCTAAAGTAACGCCACTGTAGACAACGTAGCCTTTTTCAACACACACGGACTTATCTGTCTGTCCGACGAGCGACACGCACGCGAGTCGGCAACGTCATGATATGGGGATTTCTTCGCTTGGTCTACACTTCCCACACGGATGCCGACGACAGTTGTTTTGCACCGTAGTGTGCTGATGTGTCGCAGGACTTCTCTCACGCTTCATTCTCCCATCACTACATCGCTGCACTATGTACCTAGACTTTGTACCACTACTCACGGCTAGAACAGCCTTGTCGCATCCCGCTTTGATTCTGCCTACTTTGCAGCGACAGTGGGGTAGGACTCACCACTGATCGAAATCATGGCTCTGTAGCCATCATGACAGGCAAGCCGGCCCGGCCCATGCCGGTACGTGTGCATGAGGAAAGTAGATGAGGGGTCCTTCAATGCCGAAGGGTAAAGTGGGGAGGAGGAACGGAGTTCAGGAGCCAGCGCTTTGGAGGGCACCAGAAACGGTGATGTATTGAAATGATATCTGTCGATGCATGAGAATACAAGATTATGTTGCTAAGAAATGTTCTCGAATCAGCCCAGATCGGAAGCTACGGACTGCCAGTGTTTTCATAATTGCCGACTATTATAGATGTAGCCACCGGTCATCAACCAGTAGCCATTGGCTAATCAGAGGCTAAGCTTAGTTGCCACCCATGCTCGAGCTGAAGTCCAGTAAGCTCGGATTGGAATAGCATTGTCGGTGGTTCGATTGTAGGAAATAGACATGTTCATCAATCATGGCGCGCCGGCGATTGTGCACAAAATAGGCAAGGAACTTGACAAGCCTTTCCAGCCTATGATGAATGCATGTCTTGTACGACATTCCTTGAAAGTGCTTCTTCTCAACCTAAGCGTGCTTATGGCTTTGCATATGCTCTTCCATGAATAATTCGGGCTCGAGTTGGTGCAGTTTCTTAGCATGTAAAAGATGGCCAATCACGCGTTCCTTGTAATCGTTGTAACAAGCACTTTTGCCAGCCCATGTCTCCGCCTCCGGATTGAAGAGAAGTCGTTGCTGCCCATGTTGCGGGAAGTCACACAGCATTGCCAAATTCAACCTTCTTAGGTTCGTGAGACTTGTTGCAATCGCCGGAAGAGCAGAGTCCCAAGTTCCCTGCGAGGGTGCTAGTGTGACAGTCGAAAGCGTAAGATGGTGTAGCGTGAGGCTGAGCGACTGTAGGAAACGTAGCAGGGTGGTTTCATCCGTTGCGATCTCGAGCTTGAGTTCCTCAATCTTCGGCCACGGCTTACAGTTAGTCAGCAAGGTAAGCAATTCTTTAGGGCCATCCCCATTCGTGTGACGCCAGTGATCAGATTGGAGAAGGCCATCCACCAGCCAACCAAAAGTCAGGCGCACTCTTTTCAGGTTCTGGCCACAGCAGAGAAATTCGAAGAAAAATCTTGCTGCCATGAAAAGGCCTCCGTCATCCTCATCTTCACAGATCGAGCAATCAAGGTGAGTGAGCTCTCCCAGAGCGTTTTCCATGATGACCAGTTGTCTGACGTATTCGTCATCTCTGGTCAGATCCTGTGGTATCGGTTCCATGTGCTCTTCTGCTTGCATAGCATCCTCGTATAGCTGCCGTAATCTTCTGACTTCGCCGTGTCCTTCACCCTGCCAGAGGCGTCGCAGGCGGCGTGGGCCCCAGAACGCTGGACCTTCGACATGGAACACCATGGAGTTGAGTTTGGTGAGATATTGCTTTGCCCATCCTATAGCCCTGAGTGCACATGACAAGTGCAAGGCCTCCATATCGTCATCCTCTTGGCAGTCTTCTTCGTAGCTGTCGGAGTAGAAATCGAAGGGATCGAAGCGTAGTCTCTGCCAGTGAGTAACCCAGCGATCTCTTAAAAGAATTGTAGGCCTGTGCTTGAACGAAGTGAGTTGTGTGAATTTTGCCAAAGTCTCATCCAGTCTCCTGATGATGCACTCCTCTCCCATCGGCGATGACCCAATTACAGACTGGACCTGCTCGCTGTAAGTGCAGCCCACCCTACGAAAACATAATGTTCTTGATAAGGATTGCACATTGTCATTTGCTGCCACGCGATCCGTCTCGTATCGATGGTAGAGGCTTCTCCTTTCGGCGTCTGTGCATTGTGACCAGTCGTGATATGACATGATATCGTAATGCGTATCCTCTTCGTCATCACCATCGTTAAACGGGGACAAAGTGATATTGGGATCATCTGGCAGGCTAATAGCTCGCTCCCAGTTGTCATAATCGGAGAACTGTCGCATTCTCCTTCGCCTCTGAAGAATCAAGGTTCGTGCATGCCTGGCTAAGTATTCGGTTGAAGCGACGTTGACCAAGTTCCCAATACTGGCCTCGCTGATATCGAAGGTGACTGTTTCGAAGCAAAGAGGCGTGGCGATGTCTCTGCATTCACGGTCTGCAAGCCGGAACTGCTTCATGTCTCGTAAATCTAGGTACTGGAACACCATGACCCAAATCTCGGTTGGAAGCCAGGACGAGTGCCCTTTTGTGGGGGTATAGTTCATTGTATCTGCTTCGATTGTCTTCTACTGGGCTGAATGTGTCGGTTTCTTGTTTGGACGAGCATGTGAAGCGCTATGAATGGACTGCCCATTCGACTTGTTGTTTGAGAGCAGTCTGTGATCGTTTTCGCATTCAAAGGGCTGCGGGTAGATCGCGGGTGTCGGAAGTGCATGAGCTCGTCGCTTGTGATGGAGGTAAGATCGATAGGGTGTGTGCGTGCGTGCGTGCGTGACGTGTCGGCTCAAAGCTGCCGAAGAGCTTCGTGTATCTGGGCGATGATTTATAGACAGTAGGAGTTGGTTGGTCTGAGTTAGCACAGAAAAGGAGTGTTTCTAGATGAGAAGAGGATGCGTGGTTTCAGAGTCGGATGAGTGTTTAGTTGGTGGGCGACGGGATGGGAGGTGACAGGCGACGCTCTGCTGTTGGCGTCTCGGCAAGTGCTCTGAGCTGCCGTTGGCCCAACAACATCGAAACGATCTCACCCCACTTCATCCATGATTCCAGCCATCACCGCCATCACGGTCATTTTCACCCCGCTTATAAAAGACATTGGGAGCGCTGGCTTACCGCAGTGCAGAGGCGTGGATGAGCGACATCACGTACCCAGTTGGAAGCCATCGTGCCGTCAGTGCACCAGTCATCCTGTTTACGCCATGGTAATAGAGTGAAGTCGCCTCTTTGCTTCGCTGCAGGTAGTGAAACCGCTTGCGGTGAAAATGCTTACCGTGAGGACACTTACCGTGAAAATGCTTACAACGAACCCCCTTACAACGAAACCGCTTACGACATCCTTGCCGCTCTTCGAGTGTAGAGCTCGCCATGCTTCACGTCGGCTCGCATCACTCCAGAGCAGTCGTAAGGGCAAAGTGCTGACCGAACCGTAAATCACCTTGTCGATAGGCAGCAACACGCGATTTGGAACGAACGTACAGCCGACAGCGCGCAGATCGTCGTCCCCGACTACGAATACCCAGCCGGGCCCGGCAGATGCCAGCTGTAGCAAACGGCCATCGGTGTAGTACAGACAAGGGACGAGACGCACAAACACGCAAAGGAGTCATGCGAGGCCCATCATGCGTCGTGCGGACGTGCGACCATCGAGGACAAGCGGCAGTCGTGCAAACCAGCCGACCACCGGCCGCCAACACCGCCAAAGGCAGAAAGAGCAGACCCCTCGTGTGCTTAAGCGCGAACCGGCCCTTGAGCGATTACTCGGATGATGTGATTCACGCAGCGGCAAAGCGCACTCAAGAGTGGGTCAACCGGCCAGCAGACGTCCGGTGGAGAGAGACGGAGCAGCGACACGGATACATTGCAAGACCTCTCAACTCGTTCATGCTCTATCGCTCAGCATACATCCCAGAGGCAAAGGCGCGGTCCTCTCGGTCTAAACAACAGGAGCTCTCGGCTATTGTAGCTGACAGCTGGCGCAGAGAGTCCCAGAAAGTGCGCCAGGCGTACGAAGCGTACGCGATGATCGAGCGCCGCAACCACCACGAAGCGTATCCCGAATACAAGTTTTCCCCCAAAAAGTTGACGATGAAAAAAGGAGACACCAGCTCGGAAGAGGCGCTAAGGACGATCTCTGAAGACGTATACAGCTGTGGCGGCTGCCCGCTCGCGGCGGCTGCGAACAAGAACCAAGCTTGGGACACGACCTCGTGCCCCATCGATACGGACGCTTCTGTGCAGTCAACAGCGCCCGGTGCGTTCGCGGCATCGCAGCCGACCCTTCTACCAATGCAGCCGACACTGTGGCAAGACCAGTATGACAACCATGCAATCCACTACCAGGTAGCAGGAAGCAACGTTCTCTGGCCGAGTGTGATGACTCCATCGCTGTTTCTGGGGCCATACAGCGCATCGTGGGAGCCCTCGATGGGCAGCATGGCATTTCCGACAATGCCAAATACAAACGGCCTGCCTGTTGCGGACCCATCGTGGGGCGGGGCAGAGATGCTGGTGGGGGCTGGCGTCAACTACGCGATACCCGCCCATGATCCGAGCTGTTGTGGCTATCCGTATACATCGAGCGAGACCGCCGCATTGCCGTGAACCAGGTTGGAGCATGCATGCGCAACTGTGAGCTCGTTTGTGGAACTGCCGGTCGACCCAGGCATGCTGTCTTCTTGACACAAAGAGGACCATATAGTGGGCGAGATAGAGGACGTTGGGGCCCTGAGCGTCTTCCGCACGCGTTACGTCGAGGGCGGATACGCCTACAGGGTCGTCTCTTGCAGTCGTTTGCGACGCTTTGTACGTTGGGCTTCGTGGTCGCAGCAGCTGGCCCTGTCGCGATCACACGATCCGTTGCCGACTGAGCATCACTCCGATGATGCAGGTCGCCATTTGTGCGCTTCAGTCGACGATGACGTGCGCGCCGCAGCGCCAAATGTGTAGCGGTTTGTAGGGAGGGTAGCTGAAGGTGACGCGACGGCGGCCACGGCGGCCACGGCAGTATCGTTGGTCGGTCGTGGGTTGCGACGGTGCAATGGCAACAGGGGAGAGAGGTGACGATGGTGAGGAACGTCAGGGTCTGCAGTCGGGGCTTTGAGAAGCCCCGAGCGCTTGGCGGAGACGCTACACCAAGAGCGACATCTCCCGGCAGAAGAAGACAAGCACAGAGAGTCTGAAAAAGGCTCTTGGATGAAATCGAAAGCTTCACGAAGGGTTCTGTAGGACGAAGGTTACCCTGCAGGAAGAGACTGCGTATCGCATGTTCTACAATGGAGAGGCAAACACCATATATATTGGCACTTCTTCAGGACGAGATGGCCCGCAGCAAAACATTGCCACTCATGACCGCCCGTACCATTGCGCAGCCACAGAATGTCGGAGCAGGAGGTTTTGGGGATCTTGAGGGACGTATCCGCAATATTCAGAGACGAGTAACCTTGGCGGGGCACTGTATTTGCAGGAAACGCCTGACGACTTGCAGGCTCAACAGCCCCAAGCATCACCGGAGACGGCACAGTAGGAGGTAGGTAGAGGTTCAAGGCGAAGTTACGGATAGATTATTAATGCATATCTGCGAGACCTGCTTTCGATGTACCTTGCGCTCAACGTGTTTGTACCCTCTCAGTGCTTGTGAGCGTGGCTAGCGGACGATCAAACCTCGCATCAGCTCGGGCTCTGTGGGTACGCGCCGGCATCTCCACGGCCGCGGCAACATCTTACGCCATCTGACGACGAGCCTCATGCAACGCATGCGCATCGTTGGTTTGTACACCCAAAGGACGAGTGTCTGTGCCGTGGAGCGGAGTGCGCAGCTGCAGATTCATTGTCACGCGCGACAAATGAGTAGTTTTCACTACGCTGGGGAGACGGCCCAGACCAAGCGCGAGTTGACGAGAAGAGTGCACTCTGCGCTGCTCGCACACGGAGGGACATCATGCCAGCCCTACGAATGTCATCACTCTTGTTGTCGTCGTTATCATTGCCATCAGATACCGTGCCGCATTGCTGCAGTGCGCGCTGCACTTCGCATCCAGGGTAAGTTCTTCCGTGTTCATTACGCTTACGTCTTGCGTCTGACCCGCTTGTAGGGTGTAGAGGGTCATTACTATGATGCGGAGGCGGTACCAGCAAAGGCGGGTCGACCTTACTTTTGGGCGCACGGTCCCATGCCGGTAAGCCGCACCACGACAGGAGGAAGTCATGTCAGCCGTCAGCTTTCACGTTGAGCTAGCGCTGTTGTCGCAACTCTCGGCCAACCGCCAACACCCTCACCCTCAACCGACCTCCGTCAAACAGCCCACAGGCACTTTTGCGGACGATGGAACCGCCGGCAAAGCGCATGCGCATCCACCAATCAGTTAGAGCTGACGGAGAGAATCTTGACTACGTTGGAGAGAAGCAAAAAAACCAACAAAGGCTCAAGAGCCAATTCGAGTCTATATTCGAGAAATTTGGCAACATACACGAATCCCAGAGCGACGAAATCGACATGAAAACAAATAGGGTGGTGGTGGATAGAGGGCATCTACGAAGACTACAGCGTAAGAGTAAAGGGAAAGAGAAGAGGTCACTGGATTCGCTAGGAGTAGCAGTAAGGAGCGAAGAGGAAGTAGACGAAGAAGATTCGGAAGACGAACTGGCCCCCACGCAGCTGGTGAAGTCCAAGACTACTAGACCGCCTCAGCAAGACATGAGCAAACGACAGGCCGAAACCATATTGATCAATACGCAGCAACCTACGTCACCTCAGTCGAACGTCCCAGTAACATCCATACCGCAATTAGGCATTCCGCAAACACCGAATATCCAGCTGCCACAAACTCCTGTGAGACAAGAGGCGCCACCTGCTTTCTACGCAAAATTATTGCAGACAATCAATCAAGCTGTTCACCAATTCACAGCCGGTCTGAACATACCAAACACCCCGACAACCTTCGCAAACGCTGCTCCTGTGCCGATCACTCCCATGACAACCAATGACAAGGTGGCACCCGCGACGGACCCAAAATGGTTTTTCCCGCCTCTGCCCGCCGAACGGCGCCAATGTTCACCGACTAGACCCCGCCGAAGCAGCACGCGTGTCGGGGGCAAAAAGGGCCGCCCTAGGAAATACGACTTCAATCACGAAGACGATGTATATATTAGCAAATGCAGAAGAATCGACGGTATTTCGTGGAAAGCTATCAAAGATGACAGAGAGAAGTGGAAGACATGGCCACTGAGCGCACTTTGCAGCCGTTGGGTGCTGATCAAGGATCAAAATCTACACCTGCAAGAGCCGACTGTAGCTGCTGCAGATGATCGCAGCGGTTCTCGATCCCGGAAACGAGTTCACGCCTCTTCCAAGCCACCGCAAAGTGCGGGGAAGAGGAGGAGTGTGGGGGATAGGAAGGTGAGGAAACGGAGGTGGGAGGATGAGTGGGGTGAGGATGGACTAGCTATGTAAGGGGATGTGTATATCCGTGTGAATGTGTCTGGTAGAAGGAAGGCTTCGACACTTGATACCCTCCTGTTCCTTGGACTAGCAGTATTGCATAGCGTACCATAGTAGATCGTTACCTCAGTCTCGTATCCACGGTACCTAATTAGAGTCGTCGGTTTTGTATGCGACCTGAGTTTTTGCTTGACAAAATAGCACGTTCCCTGCCCGTACATGCGAATTGACGCATCCGACTCATTACCTAACGAGTGAGTAGGCGCTGGCTGTCATCGTCACCTTCTCCAGTCGCTTGTCAGTGGCACAGCGGCCTGCGCTGGTTTGTATCTAGGTATCCGAACAAGGAAGCTAAACTCGGACAGCCCACGATAGGGATCGACCTTGGTGACTTCGCTGTCCCGACCCACTACTCGCAGCTCTTGCAGATGGCCACGCGGTCAGCTTCCAGTACCAAAACCCAATCGACGATCATGTACCCAACATGCGCAGGCACTTCGAGGAGCAAGAGGTGAGGGCTGCACGGTGCTGAACGCTCTAGAAGCTTCCGGGTCGTGGATCCAATAACGCAAGGACGAGAATGCACTCTTCCCAACATACGATAGTAACGCAAACTGCTACACTAGTCATCAACGCGTGATCCGCTAGACCCCCGCCCGTTCCTGCACACCCAGCCACGACACCATGGTGCCGACGTCGGCCGAGAGCATCGCTTCACTGCGGAAAGATGGCACCATCGTCCCTACAACCCATTTTCGATCCAGGCTCGGGCAAGGCTTCCCACGTTCCCGATAGCTGCCTGGGTTAGGGGGTGCTCTAGAAGGGGCTTCTTTTGACAAATCTGCTCGAACAGCTGCGGATCAAACGCATCGTCCCATGGGTAGAACCGAACATTCCTCGGTATCGGCCGGTCCACTGTCAGTATCTCCGAGGCAGAGTTTGATAGATACGTCACAGGGGAGACTCTAGCAAGGCGAGACACAAGTGTTGCATCGTTCCGAAGCGAGTATAGGTAGAAAAGTCCACGGAGGACGAAGTCCGGGTCTGCGAGAGACCAGTGCGGGATGTGGACCCTAACGGAGACACCAGCGTGAGCCGCACACTTTTGGATAGCCTCGAAGAGTTTGCCCTGGCACGACTCGCTCGCAAAGGATGCTGCGCAGCACTTGATTGCAACTGATCGGACCCTTGGAAGCTGCTGGAGAAGGATCAGGCACTGCTCGAACGCATTCATCGTCGAAGAACCCTCCGTAAATACCACGTTGCCGTGAGGGCTCAGTGCGGACGACTCATCACGGAGCCGCCTGCACACATGCTTTAGCTGGTTGTAGTCGCTCCCATGGCGTTGGGTCTGCGCCTTTGCGACGCGACGTGAGCGGTCGTAAAGTCTTGTGAGAACGCTCTTGCGGCTCGAGGCGTTCCTCGCCTTTCTGCAAAGCCTCCCTACACCGTTTTTGCCCACGGTGTAAAGCAGCCCCCCGGCATGGTACAACGCATGTCTGTAAATCTCGTCGCGCAGCTCACGCGGCAGCCGGAACAAGAGGGGAGAGTGATCCATAGTATGAATCCTGTGCATAGCATAGGGTGAAGCACGTCATCTTATAGCAGCTGAAGTCGTAAGCCGTAATGTCATCATGTTCTGTCATCCTTTTCGCCCGCTCGAGGCTAAGGCACACGCATCGAGTAAGCATGTGAATGATGGGATTCAGCGATCTCAAACTTGTGCCCACGTGTAACCTTTGGAAAACGGAGGCAGGAACAAGAGAAGCTGGGAAGAGCGCTTGATACCAACTCGTGGCTGGGGACTATGCAACTCACCTGTATAGCAGATCGAGTACACATGACATAGCCTTTCATCGCCTATTGCAAGCTTGCTCTCCACCCGATTGACCTTCTCTTCTCCCATGGGTATGCGTACCATGTACAATACTGATTATTCTCCGCGCTAAATGCGGCCGCGAGCTTTCCCGTGTCCAACACTATCGTGCGTGCCCTCGCGAATTTGGTTTCGATGGCTTGGTCGTGCCATCTGTTCTCATCGTCAGACTCAAGCTTCAAAAACTGATGGTGCCACTCGATGCGAAAACCTGGATCACGGCAATTTGCTTGATCATCCCCCGCACGTCATCCTGGGACAAGTGTTTTTGCGTTAAGGGGGCAGGCTGATAGGATATCGGTGTTCTCTCGGCAATCGAGGCCACGAGCGGTCAACGGATTGCAGGGTGGATTCTTCTTCTTGGCCCTTCGCAGCTCTTCAATCTTCTCTGCCGATACTTTGCTGGCTCGTGCAACTCGAATCATGTCTGATTCCACAGTATCCATACGCTGGCCTTGCTCTCGCAGCGTAAGCCAAGTGCTAGTACCAGTCACCAAAGACTGCTCGGCAAGGCTGAGAACATTTTCGCTTTGCCTCGGCGTCGTGCTGAAGAGTTCGTTGATTTCTTGCTCGCCCTGCTCCGAAGGGGATATGGGTTGTTCTCGAAAGACCGGCCCGACCACGTGACTTAGTGTTGTTTGGTGACGAGATGACGCTAGATCTGGTTTGTTAGCGTTTTGTAGTACAAACAGTATCCTACCACATTCTGCACCTGTGAAGAAGCTTAGATAGCTCAAATCTGCGTCTCGTGATAGTTTTCTGGTGTTGTAGTTTTCAATGGCTCGTAACAGCAAGCGGAAGAATGTACCTCCGGCGAGTAGTGAGAGCAGCAAACCTGCCAAACGTCAGCGTAAACCATCCCAAATCTTCGAGCAAGGTATCAATCCTGCACCTCCCACACCTCCGTCAACGGTCAGGCGCCTAAACCGCTCGCGAGTACCGACTCCGCAGCGTAATCACGATATTCCGAGCCCAGTTTTCGAACCTGAGGCGCCAAGCCAGCTCACCACTGACACCGCTGATATACTTGGGGAGGATGAAGACGAGGAGGTATTTGACACGACGGCGGACGATGAGGATAGACCCGTAGAGTTTGCTTTGCGAGCTGCTACTGCTGAAGAAGATGAGGGAGTTAGCGAGCGAGCTGCTGGCGGTGCTGGAGACTCACCAGGTGTTGCTGTCGCTGCCTCAGCGGCTCAATCGAGTCAGCGGCAGCGCCTGGAGTCACAGAATGAAGAAGTTGACGAGGAGCCACACCTGCACTTTCGATACCGCGCGTTCTGGGGGTCAGTAGAGAAGAATGCGATAGCTTCAGCTTCTGACTCTAGGCGTAATAAACCTATGTACACAGTCAGCGAGGATAAGGTGTGGCGATGGGCGGATAGTGTAATAGAGTCGCAGAAGCCACGCGTTAGCAAAATTGAGAGCTTAACAGCGACGCTGTACTATACTAGCGGCAGCCGCAAGCCAAAGCCGATAGGTGTACTATTGCGCTGCAGCGTAGTCGACGTGTAGCTGGTGAGGGATTTACTGTCGGTAACTGGTTGGACTTTGAGGACGAGGTTGTAGAAATGAACAAGGAGAGCGCTCAGCTAATGACGTGCGACTTTGATTTGGTGTTGAGGGACGAGCTGCCGGCATTACAGCCAGCATCGCAGCTGGCTCGTAGTGGTGGTGTTGCTCGCTCGCGACCTGGCATCGTTACGGCTATACAAGAGGATGGACTCGCTGCTGTCGTTACTGCTGAAAGGTGTGCAAGTGGCGTTGCAATCGGCATCAAAGACTATTGGAGATGCAACGAAGAAGGATGCAGCAATAACACTAATACTTGCTGGCGGCGTCCTCTACCTGGTCGCCAAATCGATCGCCCGGAAGAGCACTACAAGGTCAATGGCAACACCATCGCGACCTGGGCGACCGCTGTGGCCCGAGAAGAGTGCACGATTCAAGAGCCATCTGATGAGATTCACCTCTCTCTCATGATGGCAAAAGACCGTTCTGAAAGCGAGAAGAGGCGCCGGCGGCGGAAGGTGTCACCAACTTCTTCAAACTCTAGCATCGAAGGTCTCACAAAAGCTATCCTCGCTGGTCATCTCGCTCAAATGAGAGCACCTCAGCAGTGTCAACACCAATCGGCAGAGTATGGGGAGTACTCCAAGTACAAGAAGTGGGATGATATCACCTGCCCGCAAGTTGAGCTACACCAACACACATATAACTTCTTCAAATACTGGTGTTACGCAATGCCACAGCTTCAGGCGGACATTACAAAGGTCAAGAGGGAGGTCTTTGAGAAGGGACACTACGACATAAACATGCTTATGGACAGGCAGACAGGTATGACACTCGAGGCGTGGGTGGAGTACTTTAACCAACCTCCATCAATGCTGTCGCATCTTAGAAGAAAGGCACATGATTGGAGGATGGACTACGGCGGCTTAACACAGAGAAACTTAGATGCAATACAGAAGCTTTATAGGAACGCAGAGGCTGACGAGACACCGGAGCGAGAGGTGTTGGGGGAAGTTAGTGGAAACTGACGTCTTAACACCACAGTCACTAAACTCGCCCACACAACTAGAAAGTGGCGAGAAGGGTTAAGATGCAAGTACAACGTTAGTAGGCATGCTCAGGAGCTTCCCTAAATTTTTTAGAATTAATAAATCGCTTTTGCAGCATATGCAACACTTCTAGTATTAATCTAGATAACTAAATTCGTCAAATTGTATTAGCACTTTTCAACACCGCATCTCTTAACTTATCGCTTAACACTACATAGGGGTAAGGTGCTATAATATTTGTATAGAGTTTCTTCTACATGTCTAAGTTATTGCTGCAAAGTTTTAGATTTTTTAGATTATAATTGTAGGTTGCGCAATACTTGCAGTTGTTGTTAAATTAAACTTACTTGCTAATCTTAGACATCATAATCATTAACATCAGGCAACCCGCACTTCTTGTACCACTCTCTACAGTCAGTCTTGTAACACGCGCTCTGTACAGCGTACTCTAGAAAGTAACTAAAGTTGTTCCACTCAGCCTGCTCATCAAGGTGTCTTTTAATCCAACTTTTTAACACCTTAAAGCTCCGCTCGGTGGGGTTGTAGTCAGGAGAGTATGGCGGCAGGTACTCTAGATGTATGCCAAAGTCTCTGCAAAGCTGGATAATTGTCGGAGAGCGGTGGATGGACGCGTTGTCCATCAACAGTACGTGATACCCAGGTTGCAAGAGCGGCAGCACATCTTTTTGCAAGAACTCCTCCATGATTTCAGCAGTAATAGCGCCTTGAAAGACGCGGTGCGCAAGGTAACCATCCACTGTCATTGCCGGCAGCAGACTCCATCGCTCTGACCGTTTCATGGAGTACTCCAGTTCAACAGAGCGACCAACAGGACTCCAACCATACTTGCGATCGCCAGTACGCTCATTGCAAGCACTCTCATCAATCGCGACAATCTGCTCAGCGGTGTAGTTCAACTGCACCCTTGCTCTGAAAACTCTGCGCAACGCGTCAGACTGCTCGCTCGCTCTTTTGGTCGCAACTTTGCGGCTCCATTTCATCTTCTTGAGCTCGCGATACACCAACTTGATGCTCACGGGTATGTCAAACTCGTCGTATAACCAGTCCTTTATCTCCTCTAGGTATGCGTGCGGTCTGCCTTCAAGATACTCGCGCAGGCGGCGCCTGTGGATGTCTCGAAGCGTGCTCGGTCGTCCGATCTTCACACAGGTCGGCGCGTACGGCTGACCCCATGCCTCCAAGTTACGTCGCTTTTTACGCGTACACTTAGGATTAACACCAGTCTGGTAATATATTTGAGTATCGTTGACTCCGACTTCAACGCGATTGAGGACTGCTTGCAGTGTCGTAGGAGCCAGTTTGCGGCCGTTCTGGTCGACGGGGCGGGTCATCGCGACAGCTACAACACCAAAAAATATATTGCGATAGGCAATTACAAATAACTTAAAAGCTTCAAGAGACGCCGTGTTGCTGCACTTTGCTCACAATTCTGAGAAATCTCAATTTGCCATACTAAGATGTCCGTGCGCGGGAACGCGCGGCAAGTCACGGGGTCGGGCTGGTCTTTCGAGAACGCCTATAATGGGCGCACACAGCAGCGCGAAGAAACGACTGATTCTGGGAGATCCGCACGTTGAGCGAAGCTCTCTAACGGAGCTTGTGTTTCTTCCATGCGTGTACTGATCGCTCTCCTCGACGCTCTGGATAGCATTCTCTCTAACCTCATCTCTGTCGAGATGCGTGGGCAGTAGCACTCGCTGCTGCGAAGCAAGTGTCTGGTGGCTCTCGTCAGCGGCGCAATGCATAGTCGCTCAAGTCATTCTCAGGGCTCTTGGTGATATAGTTAGCGTCATCTCGCGGCCACGTTACGGGGCGTACGTAGCAGCATCATGACATTCTTCGAGCGTCGAGTGTGCCTCTGCGCATCCGAGGGCAGCTGGAGTAGTTCGCTAGATCTCACAAAGGCATTGTATTGGGAGACTACGCTGGTGATGGAGACAATGTGAGTGTCAATTGTCACAGGGCAGCTGGTATAACTAGTTGATGCGTATCCTGCCCATCCATGTTTGGTCGAGATGTCAACAAACAGTCATTGGCTTCTACGAGATGGTACACGAATCGGGTCCTTCTCATCGCCCCCTGCATCTTTGTCCAACTATGGGCTTGCACCTCAACTGACCGGTGACCGGTATCCTCCCAAATGAGTACACTTTACGGGCGGGATCCACTTTGATACGCGCGCATCAGGATTTATACAGGCGAGACTACTCCACGGTTAGCAGGAACTGAACAAACAAGATGGAAGAAGAGGTGGATTCTTCGCATTACCTGCCAACGTCTTCGTCCCAGGCCTGAGGGTTGCATTTTTGGCAATTCTTCGCAGCGGCCCCGCCTGTCTTCCGGCCGGATGTACATGGAGGATCACGGATGGCACGACGATTTGTGGTTGATGGATCTGCTGTTGAGGCAGGGCAGGGCGTGACGGGTGCTGAGTGTGTCGTCGAAGCAATCCGTGTGCTGGCGACGGGGGGA